AATGTGCCCCCTCCCTGTCAAGGAACGACAAGACGAGAGGGGGCCAGCACATGGGCGAAGCGCCTTTCTCGGCACTTTTTACTGAAATTTCGACATTATTTGCTGAAAACATCTGCCGCACCTCTTGCCCCCCCCCCCCCAATCCCAGCGCACTAGACCTCGTCACCCTCTGAGAACGCTTGTCGCATGCGCTTTGCTTTGCCTCGGTCTCGTGCGCGTATTAGGACATAAGGAAGGCACTGACAGGGGAGGCATCGGAGCTTCAGCGAGAGGTAAAAGAAGTGTGCTTCAGTGTGCAAACGTAACCACCTGTTGTTATCCTCCTGGGGCAAGAAATACACCCGTCCGCGCCAATATGTCTGCGCTCCACCACGCCGCTCGCAACCTTGTTCATACCGAAAAATGGTAAGATGTTCGTTGCAACCCACCTTTGCCTGGTCCCCTAGTGTCTGAATGATGCACTCTCCGCTGGTAAAACCGTGAATATCGAGATGTATCGAAGAGGATATGGGGGCAAGGGTAACAGAAAGCTAACATGATGATAAAAGAAGCGTTTTCAACAGAGATTCAAGAACGTGCAGCTACTATGCTGCTTGTGTTCTGTGGCAAACTCGGACAAAAACGCCAACTAAACAGTGTCATCATTGCCCGTGGTGGGCGTGTTTCTCAGCACCTGGCCCTGACACAGCTACATCTGCGGGGATAAACAAGATACAGATCGTATGCCTGTCAACAGCACACGATACAAGGGTTAACATGCATTCTTCATCCTTGCTTGGGCCTGAAACTGAGACAGGTGGAGGTGAAGCAGAGAGATCACGGCGCCCTGCGCGGCGAGGTGTCTACGATAACCCTCCACATGGAGCAGAAACAGGAGAAGGAGCGGCTCGCCAGGGAGCGTGTTGAGACGTTGGAGGTGAACAGCGTGTACGTACCTACCGCATTCCAGGCTGCCGAGACCCGTCGAGGGCAGAGAAGCGTAGCACTTGTACTGAGCAGACGGCACGCTCGCTCCATGCTTTAAGCGAGGAAAGGATGGACCCATGAGAAAACCACGAAAAATACCAACCATCCCTATCAATACGCTCGCCACAACGCCGTACAGCTGCAAACTAGAACCGCGACCGACTTTTTGCATCCTTTCCTCCCCTCCGCACTGCACCTACCCCGAGCCCCCGCCTGCGCTTACTCCCGCAACATTCTCCACAACCAACCCTCGTGGTTGTAGGCCCGCAAGGTCGCTTTGGATGAAGCTGTTCGAGCAGAAGTGACCCGAAAAGGACATTTGGAGGAATTGCTAGACGCCAACCAGGCAAGTTGGCTCATCCCCGGTTCAAGCTCGCTATCTTTGCTTTGGAGGGTAGGGCTTAGTAGGGGTTTGGCTGGGGTTGAGGTTCGAGATTCTGAGTTGGGATTGGGGAAGCGGGTGGGGGTAGGGTTAGAGTTGCACTAGGGTTAGGAGTGATGTTGGACTTGGGGTTCAAGGTTAGTTTATGGTCCCCTAATGGCGCCTTCGTAGGCAACGCGTACTGCGCTGCGACACCGGCGACTCGTTAGCTAGATTATAGGGTGAAGTGTGATGTGCGGTAGGTGGTGTGGGACGTAAGGCATGAAGTGGCGTGGAACGCACGAACACGGTCCGTTTCCTATCCGTTCCCGTCCTCGCAACCTGGTCTGAGCTGGATTTTGTTTCCGGCAATTCGTCGGGACGATAAACAACTGAGCCACTACTCTGAGCGCGTAGCAGTTGAGCGGAAAGCTCAATGGACATGCTGTCAAGTTTTGAGGAGCTCAGACAACACCTCTAGCATCAAGCACGATGGGTGGTGATCGTCCCTGATCTATGTAATGCCCAACGGTTGTGCTGCAGTGTGGTTGGTTCGGTTATTTTGAGCATGTCAGGAACTCTGGACTTGTCTTTTTCTCCACTTCACGCTCCATCGCACACACATACCCTACTCTTCACAGGCCAAAGCTCAAAGAGACCAAGAGCTATACAAGAACCAGAAGGAATACTTGAAGACGGAGGCGGAAGTGAGTGTCCAGAAAGATCAATAGTCATAGTTTCGGCACAAGTTTAACTTATTAAGCCGTTTGCCTCCCTACCATGCGTATCTACTACACACAGCGGCGCAAACAAGACGGCTTCATGTTCCTGAGCCGTCGTACCTAACGAGGGCCAAACGCAGAAAAAACAAGTGCACACCCGTGTACTATTCGTCAGTTTGTTTCTCGAGTTGTTGTTGTTGTTGTTGTTGTTGTTGTCTTAGCATTTGTAACCGTTCCGATCTCTCTACCCAGTACCTTCATCTGTCCCTACTGATCAAACACTTGACCGATCGATTCCTGTGGTCACAGGATAACTTACCTAAAACAGGCATACTTCAAATCAACGATAGATAGCCTGAGGCCCTCCGCTCTCCTCTGTACGCTATGTGCGGTAGAAATGAAACTGGAAGTCAACAACACAGGCCAGAGAGAGATATATATCCCCTGGTTCGGTACTGCACAGAGAAAGAGAGAAGGTCATCCGGGAAAGAAACGAAAAGGACAAAAAGAGAAAGAGAAAGAGAAATAAACGGAATTAAAAAAATTGAGTGAGGTGATGCACTTCTTCCTTCTTCCTTCTGTAAGACTTGTAGGATTAGGCTGGATTAGGCTTGGGGTCAGCGTCAGGGTTACCACAGCCGCAGCCCCAAACGAAAACAGAAACTCTATATATGCTTGCTCGGCCGTGCCTTGTATTCAAAACACCAGCACATCGGCGTGGTAGAGGAACAACTCCGGGCGTCGAAGGAGGAAATGGAACGATGTCTGTCGGAATACGACGAGCTTTTCAGGACCATTCAGCGGCTATCAGAGGAGCTCAACACACAGATTACTGCCAACGGAGAGCTGCAGGTGCGGTAAACACTGCCACACACACACACACAAGCAGCGAGACCGAGTGAGTAATCGCCTGGAAGTGTCGTGCGAAATTACATCATATCCTGTCTATCCTAACAACGTTTGGATCTTGGGGAGGGTGTGGTCAACAGCAACCGGCAGGGGCGCGTCTCTTCCCACGGTCTCTTGTTTCCGCTCTGCATGGTATTCCGCCATATTATCCCTTACGATGTGTGTCGTGGGGGGGGGGGGATTCTCGATTTTCCATGGGCGGTCGTGGTTCATTGACGCCGGAGTGTCGATAGCCGATCGCATCGTCCCTGAGCAAGGAAGGAGCTCACGTACGTCTTGGTTGTTGTAGTTGCACCGTGGCGCCGGAATTCGACATCCATTTTCCATGTCCATAAGTCGACAGGGGTCATCGCAGAAAGCGAATCCGCAAGCCCCGCTGCGCGAATCTTCCGATGGTTCATCCCCTCGACGAGCTCGGTTTCGTTTTTCCTTAAGCTGTGCCGTGCTTTGTTGGACTGGTGTTGAAAGTGAGCCCACGACAATTATCCTTCGTACCGCGGCCTGCACACGCACACAGGAGGAAAACGTGAGCAGGAAGCAAGCTACAGATGCCACCCTGGCCAGGCTTCGAGTCCTCGAGAAGAACACACTAAAGACCATGCGATTGAAGGATCTCGCTCAGGTATGCCAAGAAACCTTCATAGTAGCTAAATAGTAGGCGTTTCTCTATTTTTCCATGGTTCGATCGTTCATTATTTTCTGTTCGTACTTGCCGCCGGGGTGTGCCTCGTCCAGTATCACGCCGCCGCTCTTGCCGAGCATACATGTACAGTCCTCCATACTGCGTGTTTAGATTCTTGCTCTGTTTTCGAGCTCACCATTTCGAGGTCGTGACCGCAATGCTTAAGAGACTGCTCGAACGACGTGTAACTCAAAAGTCTGTCAGGCGTCAACCGAGGGGGCTTAGGATTCCCATCGACGCGGCCGGGGAGGTGCAGAGGGAGCAGCAACTCACCATTGTCGAGATAGAGGTGTCTGCGACGAGACACAGAGTTTGCGTTCGTTCTGAACACGATGCCAACGACAACAACATCCCCCAACGCGGGCTTGCCCCTTCCTTGATAATAAACATTTCCAGAAAAAAATAGACGAGACGGAGGCAAAGCGGCAGCAGTACGAGCAGCAGAGGGACACCCTCAAGACCAAGATTCATGGTCTCAACTCGATTGACATGAAGGTACGTAGGTTGGGGGGCGAAGGCAGGGCAGTGAAGCTGCAATTCGTTCTTAAACACGTCGTCGACGGATTTGACGACGTACTTTGCGCTCTGGCCATATCGGACCGTTATGATGGCAAATAACGCGTCTCAACTGTTCGAAACGTCCGAAGAATCACTAAAATACTTGGTTGACGTCAACAGCACAGCACACTTACAACAGATTTTATTGATACTTTCAACTCGAGCCTCCCCTTGATCGTTCGACATTCCGCACTGCTCTCAGGCGGGGCGCAAGAACATCGACTCATTGAAACGGCAGATCGGCGAGCTCGAGCGGGAGAAGGACATCTTGGATCGGAAGCACATATCTTCAGACAGAGCGGCTTCTCTAATCTTTGACCTCTCCAAGGTGTAAAACGAATACTTTCAGCGATTTCGAACGACCGCAGTGTCAGCGACACACAGCGTGATATCTGCACTTTTTTCGGCAGCATAGATTCTCGGAGGGGCGCAATGGGCTAGATGGAACCCTGCTCGGTGTAAGGCAAAGAAGTAATACCAGTAGCTTTGTCGACACGCGATACGCATGTCAAGGGCGCCTCGCCTACCGCAATAAACATGGGAACGAGCTGGTCGTTCTAACTCCAGGATCTGGTTGTAAGTAGCATCTAGCGGGCTCATTGGAAGCATGCATAACAGCAAAGTGATGCACGGTCAACCAACCAGAGAGTTTGCTATACCCTCGCGTAACCCCGGTTTGGCCATCGCGTTCAGATCCAACCAGCACTGACTCAATAGTCTACGCCAGTCTCGTCAAAGCAGCGCGCGTGTGTGCGACTCATGGTGATGGGGACGATTTTGAGCGATACCCGCTTACCACCCTCCTCTTATTGATGGACCCCACGGCGTCGCAGGCGAACCAAGCGACCCGCAAGAATCTGTTGGACGACCGGGAGGCCATGAAGCAGAGCATCAGAGGCCTGCGCTCGAGGATAGAGCAGCTGGCGGGAGAGCGCGAGCGCGCGGAAAAGGACTCTCTGGAGCACACCCGCCTCTGGCAGGAGAGGGCTGAGGGGCTCAAGGCGCAGGGTCTCCAGGTGAGCCAGGCATACTCTGCTGCTTCTTCACAGTGGTTCGATCTTCCATCTGGGGTGTTGCGATTCCTAAAGAACACGTTCCAAAGTATGATAGTACCACAATGCTCCCCCAACTTCCGTCGACGACGATTCCCTCTTGCCACATTTGCATCACGGTGAGATTATAGAGGAAGATAACCTGGGTTCAAATCCCGCCACACACCAAACGATGGTGGCAGCCACCAGCAAATGGCGGGGAGCCGAAAGAAAAACGGATTTTCAAACTTGTGGCATTTCTGGTGACGTGGCGGGCAAAGCACATCCATGGAAACATTCGCACAGGAATTTGAAGACGTTCATCGTCTCGCCTCCGGCCGATCGGGTTTCGGTTACCCCTACAAGCCTTCTTCAAAAAAAATACCTATATTCAGGGGGGGAGGTATTGTGGAGGTGACCTTAAAAGTGTTTCATCTCCCCAACGTCCGTCGAGGACACCAACGTCCGTCCAGGACGATTATCGTTTTTCACACTACCCCGCAGTTCACGACAAAACAAGGTCTTCTCGCCTTTGTCTCTGTTGGTATGTGTGGTGTCATCTGTTTTCACACTATTGTTCTTGGTGTTTGTTGGTTTTCATCCCAGGTCGCAGACCTCCAGAAGAAGATAGCGGCGGCCGTGGCCCGCCTGAAGCAGCAGCAGAATCTCTACGAGGCAGTGAGGAGCGACCGCAACGTCTACTCCAAGAACCTCATCGAGACTCAGGTTAGATTGATAACTCTCTTTCTTCTTCCTTTCAACGCTCAACTCCCTAGAGGAAATCCGGTGGTAGTCATGCGAGAAGGGTCGATACGTCTTCCCCCTCTTTCCCGCTACCAAAATTCTTCAGCTTACCTGAGAAGCGGTCTTCATCGTGCTGCCTTAAAACCAGCGCAAACGCCATCCCTCTCGCAGTAACAATGAAGGGAGAGAAGTCGTCTGTGCGACATCGGGTCGAAAGCTCTTCAGTTGAAGACACACGGCTGTGCGCTGTTACGTAGAAGCCGCAAGTGACGGTAGTTTACCGGCGACGAAACAGTTATGAATACATGTAGGCAGTTGAAGCTGCCCTGTATTCCGTCACCTTTGCTCTTAAACCCCCTCTTTTGGTCCCGTGGCTCAGACGACTTATGTGCACACGAGGAAAACGTAGGTTGACCGTGCCCGAAACATAACTCCCCAAACACAACTGACTACGCCAATCATGCAACACGCGATGAACACGGCTCGAAGAACGACCAACACTCCACGGAGATCCGCAATGTAATAGTAATGGTGCCACCAGACCCATATATCGGCAAGCGTGCCGTTCCAAGAGGTACCAGGGTCGGAGTATGCTCGCGATCAAGACGAAATCCAAAACAATAGTTGAGAGTCGGCCAGACCCGAGTGAAACGGTGTGTTCCCTCCTGTGCTTTTCCCCGTTACTTTTTCGAGTTTTGAACTCGTGCGTGCTCTCTCCTCTCCTGTTTGCTGCACCGACACACGCAGGACGTAATCAAGGAGATGAAGCGGCGGTTCAAATTTATGAACCACCAGATCGAGCACCTCAAGGACGAGATCACCATCATGGACCACTCCTTGGTACGTCACGCACGAACATCGTAACACGCCCCATGTCATCCGCCGAACAGCGTTCAACCCCTTTCTCTTATTTTGAGGATTGATCACGTGGGACGAGACTGTCGGCTGTTGTCACCACCCACCAATGCCCCCCGAATCCAGACTTTCGCACGTTGGGTAGGGTTAGAGTTAGGGTTAGGAACGACAACTCTGGGTTCTGCCATCGGCCTATTGACCCGTCAGTTGGAAGAAACCAATGCTATCGTGTGTCATTACGGTGTCAGTGCTTGAGTTCATGTTGGCCCCCCTCCCATTATCAACAACGTTGGGTGGTGGACTCGTGTCGAATGTGGACGACCGTTCGTGTTTGCGGTTACAATATATCGGGGGTATGGAGCAAGTTTGTTGCCTCAGCGACATCCCCGAAGAAAAGTACTGCATTGTTTATGCCCTTCCTCGCTCGGGCAAATCAGACTAAAACGGCGACGGAATCGCATCGGGTAGGCCGGGTGCGTTCATGCTGTAGGTGGCTCTCTGAGTGGCTATAGTAGAAACCTGTTCGTTTCATGATTAGACTAGTCCACAAAACGAAAAGCACAAATCGTTGAATATCGATATGTGAGGTTTGGGTTCGGCGGCCATCTATTGGTTGTTTTACAACAACAAAAAGGTCAAGGAGCACTTCCACCACCACAATGTGGACAAGGACAAGGAGTCCCTCCGCAACGACGTCACTAAGGTGAAGAAGCAGATCGTCTCAGGGGAGCATATCGCACTACATCAGCGCTCCGAGCTGCAGAAGCTGACTCGCATCATACAGGAGGCCGACGAGGAGCGACAACGTCAGGCAAGAAGATTTCCGGTCGCGATTGACTGTGATTGTAGGGGTAAGGTAAACTTGAGGACCTCGCTCGTAGGTGGATGTATTACAGAGGGTCAGGGAGATTGTTGTTTGTGGAAGTCTTGCCGCCTTGTGCGAGGAACGTGTCCTGTACATGGGACTACGCCGGTCAGAACAGACTCAGGTCGGGGTACATCCACTTGCGACACAGACATGGGGGACTAAGATCCACCAACGACCACAGTGCGGGTGCCATGCCACTTTCGCACCAAGACAGTCCATTTCTTGCACGTACTTGTTTCAAGTAGGCAAGGGAGCATATCTAGAGGGAAAAAAACAATGTCCATTGTACTGTTGCTCGATAGGTGTGGGTGGAATTAAGATTGGTGCAAAAACCTTTCACCGTGTATGAGTCAGCTCGTTTCCGTCGATGCTGAACGTTGGAAGAAAATTACGCGAACGGGGTCTAGGTTCCCTTAACGGGGCCGTGACTTCGATGAATTATCATGCAAGGGCCCGGAGGATTACCGTTTTCGTCTGGGGCCGTTGTTTATGGATGAATATCGACAACACCGTTTGAATACTGTTCGTATCTAATGAGAGCAACAACGGTAATTACCCTTTTGGCGTTTTTTCTTAGGTGAAAGAACACGATGCCATCGTCGGCGAAAAGGGTGTCTTGTTTGGCCAGCTGATGAAGCGGAACGACGAGCTGTCCGTGCTGTACGACAAGATACGGATCCAAACCTCGAGTCTGCACCAGGGGGAGGTGGGTTCAACAAAACCCCAGTTATTCATTCCATACACCATAGTGTTGTTCTCTCAAGGTCGTTGTTGCATGTCGACGGACGCTTATTTCAAAGGGTTCGCACCTTACAACCTATCGAAACCACTTCGGCACTTCTTCGTTCGTTCTCAAAAGTGGAGACGGGGCGTTGTTTTGTGTTGTCATGGAAACATACCCGCCTTGCGTCATTTCGGGGCGTGTAAACATGCTGTGGTGCGCGCATGTGTCGTGCTTTCTGCCTCGAATGGGATGTTTGTGCCAGGTACGTTACCAACAGCTGCTGGACACCATCATGGACCTGGAAGGGCAGATCAAGTCCATGGAGAAAGACCTGGTGTCGTCGATGTCGCAGGTAAACCACGCGCTGGGTTTTGGTCCACTGCCTGCCAAGACCTTTCCGAGTTTTTTTTTTTTAACACCACAATCGCTGAGGAACGAAATGGAAAGATCAAGAGAAAGAAAACATTCGTTTTGCTAGCATTTGTTCGTGTTGAAGTTGTGTGTCTTTTGGTCGCTTTCTCCCCTGTGGTTGTTTGTATGCGCATCCCTTCGTTTTCTGTCCGTTAGTTCCCCTTTGGCTTATTGTCTGTGCGAGATAGACAAACAAACCAGGTCAAGTACAAGTGCTTAGACGAAACGTGACCATTAAAACTCGTGAGACCCTTGTTGTACAGCGTGTGAAGATGTGTACTAAACCTCGAAATCTCACGGTAGCGCGGCAGCCACACCGACTTGACTGTAGTATGAATGCTGCCAGTTGACTAATTCAGTACGATCGTATTGTTCGAATATGACGCCGGTGTCGCCAATTTGGTCTCAACGCTTCTCGAGCAGGCGGGAGACCTGAACGAGCTCACGACAGCGTCGAACAAACTAGAGAAGGTGAAGCACGCGAACGACAGGATGAGTGGGGTAGGAGTGGAGCAGGGGAGAATGTGGTTTGGTTTGGTTGGGTTACCGGGAGGGAGGCAGTGGGGAGAACAAGGGAGGGACGGAAATAGGATCAATAAATCGATTCGCCTCCGCGCGCCGGCAATACCCAGCAGTCGTCCTCGAAAGGCGTACAATCCAGGAACAAATCAAGAGGAAGCCTTGATTTATTTTTTCTCTTGGGTCCTCGTCCGCTTTTGCTGCCATCTCATTGGCACGCCACTTCTACCTGCCCTACGGTCTTGCCTCTCTGGCTGACGAGCTCCCATCAGGGCATATGCATCTATATATCTCAAAGCGAGCGGAGTTGAACAATTCGTTGCCTCGAATGTACGAGCTTGCAAGCGCTTCCCGCTCCTGGTACGGACCGTCCTACAATGCGTTCATTTGAGGAGGCAACTTGTCAAACCTGTATCAGACCAAAACAGACATCATGAAAACGATGGATACCGCTACTTACATCCACCACCAGGACCTGATGCGCGAGCGGGCCAAGATGACTGCGCTTGTAGAGGAACTCGAGCTTCCGCTCAACGTACACCGCTGGAGAAAGCTAGAGAGCTCGGACCCCGAACGCTACGACTTGGTAAGGAAAGCCCAGTCCCTGCAACGCAACCTCGTGTCCAAAACGGAGAGTGCGGTGAAGAAAGACCTGCTCATTCAGGAAAAGGTAAGCACACGTGCCAGCAACGGTGAAGTGTTGGAACAACGGCGATTGGAATGCAGTCATGGTCGTTGACGTACAGCGCAAGCTAGGTTGTCTGAATTGCGCCCACCGTAGTTAGCGTTCGGTGTGCGTGTGCAACTAGTTTCGCATTCCAGCTTGGCTAGCCTTGAGGCACACAAACGTTGTCCCTGCTCACTTCTGCAAGGATGAGGGGTTGAGCGGCGTCTCTCACTTGATCGAGACGACAACAATCAGATGCACGCCTTGGACTAGTACTATAATTTCTTCGCTGCACGGATTTGCGGTGTAACTGATACCCCCAGGAGAAGCTGTATATTGAGCTGAAGACTATCCTAGGGCGGCAGCCGGGACCTGAAGTCGCGGAGCAGCTCGCGGTCTACCAAGAGAACTTGAAGCACAAGGTATTGCAGCACAACACGAATGCTGCCGCTAGAGTTAGACATCATCCCCCGTAGAAAGAGAACATGTACCGCTGTGGTGGGTGCACAGATATGAACCCCTTCGTCTGAGTTAGACTTCTTCAAGCTACGTAGATATGGCTCCTACGTTTGTACACGCATTGGGCTGGCTGACTTTGCGCCGAAAACTGCCTTAAATTAGTTTGGATATCTACCCGCTAACATCCCAAACAACCTAGGTATATTGTCGGTGAATGTAACCACGCAGTATTCATTCGACCCATGCAGACAGTGGCATGAGTAGTGATGGTGGCAAGGATGGTTGTGTGGAAACCATCTGGATCTGCGAAAGAGTGGTCTCGATTGATTGCAGAGAGCACCACAAAGCGCCTTCATTACAAGTAGATGCAGTAAACGCCCGAGTACTGCGTCACAGTAGCAGGAGGGGAAGAACATTTCCTCGCAAACTCTCGTTCTCTACCTTAACCCTATTGGACGGTTCAACCACGACAGGTGAAGCAGATGAGGGCCATGGAGGCCGAACTGGGCATGTACAAGCAGCAGGTCGATCTCTTCAAGTCCGATATCGAGGCCGCCAACGAGGCAATGCGCGCGCTGCGACAGCGCTGGGTCGCCGATCAGAGGCGCAGCAAGATGAAGCAGGGAGGGAGTGGGAGCGATGAGACCATAAACCTTACCGGGAACACGTGGGACTCGTCCTCGCCCGTTGCGGCGAAAGCTAGCGCCGACAGTATGCCGCCACTGTCGCAGGATGAGAAGGGGAATAGTAGCAGCACGATTCCGGATAGTAAGCATATCCTTGAGGGGGATAGAACACAAGAGCCCCAGGCGTTAGATAACCCTCCTGCCGTTGCCGTTGAAGCGTGACTGCTTCGTACATTTGGCCACGGTGGGTGCAATCTAGTTGTTTTATGTAGGTGTTGACAAGAACTCATGAAAAGACCAATGGTTGTTTGACGTACGTGGAGGTTGCGTACATAGATTCGTTACATCTTGACGCTTGTTCGATTGATACTGTACGGCATCCACGCTAAGATCCCTAGCATTCACATCCTCAGCATTATGTAGGCATGGCTTTCTTTCTCTAGGCGTCGAACTTTGAACCAGGAGCAACGACAAGGGTTGGGTTCGGATCGGATAAACCGCAGTCGCGGCGGATCCCTCGGGTATGCATCCGCCCCGGTCAGTCACCTTCTTTGTGTTTGCTGGCTTCTCTCACTGTGCGCCGTTGCCTTATGAGCAGGCTGTCTGTGCAGATCGTAGCGAACGAAAAAATGATGGAACGTGACCTAGTCAAAACGAACATGACAAAACGACACCAACCGAAGAAAGAGCAGTAGAGTGCTGCTGCTGTAGATGATGTTTAGAGAGAGAAAAAAACACTCACACATTTCAACCGCACTGAGACCGCCGTCTTTTCATTGGTCAGCCGGTTAGCGCGGTCGATGCTAGTAATAAAAACACACACAGGTGCAGGAGAGGTGCGCAGCCGGTTGTTTTAGCTATCGCGGTCGACGATAATAATAACAACACAAACAGACAGGTGCTATAAAAAAAACACACACACACACACAGGCATGGGATAGCCTCAAGAGCTCTTCCAGATTTATTTCCTAACCCAGATCCCAGGGCCTAAGCAAGGCAATCATTGTCGAACGCCCTACGGATGGAGCCACGGACCTGTCATTATACAGTATCTTGCTCAGCGGGATTCCGCGGAGTTACGAAACCTGAACCATCGGTGTATTTATTTTCTTCTTTTTTTTTTCCAACGATCCCCGTTTTTGGATGTTACATTTGGGGTTGGGGGAGGTGTCGTGACCCACACACTTCACCGAAGCTTCACCATCCGTGCATACAACTTTCCAAGCGAGTCACGGCGAAACGGCAAACCCGCGTTGTACGATGAGGCCGTCCCACACCACTGGCAGGTCTGTGGCAGCCATGGCAGGAGCTCTCTCCGTGCTTGCCGTAGCAACCGCCGCATTGACCCGAGAGCGGAGGCGGGCAAGTCGGGTAGCTCGGGCAAAGAGCATCGTGCGGCGTGGCGTGCGAGTGCTCCTGGCAGTCGATATCGGCAGCTCTTCTGTAAGGTGCTCGGCCTACACGGTGGGATCTCCGCCGGTGCTCGTGCCCGGCTGCGCTGTGCAACTCAAGCATGCCATCGTGAAGGAAGACGGCACGGCCAATGCGGAACAAGTGATCTCGCTCGTTGATGACGCGGTGGACAAATGCTTTGGGTGAGAGGAGACACTTTCTGAGCTGCCATGCACACACAGATGTTGGTCGTGCACGGAAGACGCTGCTGTGGCGGTACATCTTGTGTGACTTTTGCGTCGGAGTGAAGAAGGAGATCACCAAATCTCTAAGATCTTTAGTTTAGACGTTTCGACAGCTGCTTTGCTGCATGTGTGTTCATGTTCTGCTTAGAACTCTCTGCTCGACGGTGCAATTCATCCATGGTAGGTTCTTGTCAAACAGGGCCTTTGTTTGCGTCCGCAACCCAGTACATCGATGACACCTTACCCACTGCTTTCAACCGGGTAACCCTTTGCGCGAAGTGGAGGAGCCACCCTGATGTAACACGAAGAAGCCGTGACGCAAGTCAGACGGTCAAGGCAATAGACAACAGAGCGATGTGTAGCGAGCATGTGCGGCGGAACTACATCGGGTGCCGAACCGGTATGTTCTTGACCTTCTCCTGCTCGACAGCGTGGCATCAGCATCTCTCTCGCACTCGAAACGGTAGCCTCGACATGTCCCCTTACAACAAAGAGAACCGTGGTGCCCATCATGACTCCAGGATGTTTTATTTTCAAAATCAGCGAGATCTTACCCTTGGAGTGCGTACAATACCGTGTGTTGCGTAAGATACCACACCCCTGGACCGTTTTTCAACGCCTTCAGAGTGGCCGTGCCAAAGTATGTGATATTGGATGCGTCTCGTCGAGAGCTTCCCGAAAACGTGTATTTGTATGTCATCCTGTATGTCGTGGAGTATTCGAGCTTTGAAAATCCGTACAGGGGGTGTGGTATCTTATGCATTCTTCGGGACCTCCTGAGATTTACACAACAGCAGTAGTATGCACCACATGCTCCAATAGGAAGCCCTCCGACCGACTAAGGAACTACTGATTGTATTTAGACCACAAATATTTGCGGGGTACCGTCTAAAATAGGCGATCCTCCTTTGATGTGGAACTCTTACGACTATTTCCACAACATCTTCCCTCGCGCCAATATTTGTCACGCCACGGATTTTGAATGCCTGTGCTACGTACAATACGGTTCCCAAGGTTCTCGGAGTAAATGAAGCAACCGAGTCAGACCTGCGGTCGACAATTCTCAATTTCGTGTTGGAGGGGGGAGGGGAGGGCTGACGCTTTACCGTTCGTAAACTAATGGTAGTAACTCTCCTCCCTGTTATGGCAAGGGTCATTGGAGGCAGCCGGCAGCCCGATTTATTCCTAACCGCTTCTGCCCACGATCAAAGCGAGGGATAAGGTGTGGGCATCCATGTGACGGAAAATGTACTCACTCCGGTACCGTGGCGTCTTGTCCACCGCACAGCGGCAGGAAACTGCCTCGATACAGGCATGCACCTTACTCTCGAATGGAAAACTGTTTGCTTGCTACATATATCACGTAATATGCCTCCCGCAGGGGAACCTTGTATTCCTTTTTGTATTGGGTTAGTATCGTAGGGTAAAAACAAATACATACAATACATACAATAATACATACTTAGACGTACGTGTGTGTGTAGGGATTATTATCTGTAGTAGCAATCATTACAAAAAAATTATCACACACACTGACTGCACATGCAGTATAGTGGGCACTGTGTAGCGCCGGTATGTATAGTTGTATGTGTCCAGGTTTTACCGGCACTATACATAGTGTTGTCTCCTCCGCGCCTCAAGTGTCCCCTCGACTCACCGCCTTGTTGCGCTGTACACACGCCACCCCGTCTACGCTGCCTGTGCGCAGCGAACTCCGCGCTCGAGAGGTGGCGCACGCCGTGATAGCCGTCGGCTTCGCGTGTTTCGGCATGAACCTGGTCGGTGTCAACGCCAGCGGAAAGCCATGCACCCCGGTCTTCACCTACGCCGGAAGCTCCGGTACTTCTTGTGGTCCATCCCCGTCTCCACCTCCACCCGCAGGCGGCGGTTCTTCCAAAGACTCCCCCGCCGGTGACTGCTCCGGGGAGGAGGACGTGGTGAGACGGTTGCGGAAGTCCCTCGAAAGAATGGGGAGAGGGGGGAAGGGCGGCCTGGAGGAGGCACGGCGGCGAACGGGCGCTCGGACGCATGTTTCCTACGCACCGGCCCAGCTGCTGCGTTGGCTCCAGGAACCGACGACGGCAGGAACGGTGGCGACGCCGACGAGGGAGAGGGTGAAGAAGGGGGACTCGAATCAGCGGCGGTTGCGGTCGCCGCAGCGGTCATATGTGAAGGTTTGGCAGACCCTGCCAAGTCTCATCGCCGCTAGGTGGTGTTGCTTGAGGAGCGCCCCGGTGAGCTACTCGGAAGCCTCTTGGACGGGTATGCTGGATCTACGGAAACTGGAGGTAAAGAGATAAGAGCGCTTGGGTGGGGTGGGGGCACGAGAACGGCTGTGGGCGCATGCGTATGGTTGCTCAAACTGTGTACCCACACATACCGCTCACAACACAACCTTGCCCTCTCCCACCCACCCGGTACTCGCGCCGTTTTCAGTGGGACACTCCCACTCTCTCCGTCCTCAGAGAGGCCGGATTCGACTGTTCGGCGTTGCCGCGGTTGGCGGACATCGGCGACCTGCAAGCAGGCGCAAGTGGAGCCACTCTGAAGCGATGGCCGGAGCTTGACGGAGCATCGATCCGACTGGGACTCGGGGATGGCGCGGCGGCCTGCCTGGGCTCGGGGTGCGTACCGCTGAAGTCGGTACACGCGGTATCGTAGCACTAGACTACAGCAGTAGTGTCTGTTTCGAAGTCCCTCTTTTCTGCCTTGTGATAGGCGAGCGATTCGTTTTCAGGACGAGGTGATTTGGGGTGGCTTTGCGGAGGCAGATCGGAGACAAGGAGCTGCGGTGGAAAACTGGTTTAAATTGCTGTAGAACCAAACCGACCTGGGACAACCCGACAAATACGCCACCGCAAACCCTGCTCGTGCCTTGCGCGCTGGCAATGGTCGTTACCACCCCCTCACGTCGCACACAGGTGTGACGAAACATCCCGTAAGATCGCCGTTACGATCGGCACCAGCGCGGCTGCCAGGGTCGTGCTTCGCATGGAAGGGAAAGAGCCTGCCCCGGCGGCGGCGAGGGTAGCAGTGGGGGCATCCACAGTTGGGGTCGACGAAGCGGTTCCGGCAGACGACGCGTTGTGTCACGTTCCGAGGGGGCTCTGGTGCTACCGGGTGGACCGACACAGGGCCGTGCTCGGCGGGGCGTTGACGGACGGCGGCTCGGTGTTCGAGTGGCTCCGCAGCACGCTGGCGTTGGCCCCCGGGGAAGACATGGCGGGGGTGATGGAGGAAGCGGAGCGCATGCCCCCGGCCAGCCACGGCTTGACGGTGAGTTCAAGTGTCAAATATCTCGGTGACGCTGCTGATTGGCTCTCGGTCCGGGTCTGGCAGCAGACCCCGTCCCACTGCGTTCATTCATTGCCGGGCGGAGGGGTACCGATCATCACTCCTCCTAAACCATGACTTTTGTGGGCGCGTATCGTGGAGTGCAGCAACGACAAAGAGTCAGTGGAAGCTCCACGCAATCATACGCGATCCCTCGGGCCTTACGCATGATCACTACCACTACTGCCGCGGGGCTTAGGTCACCTCGAACACGACTTTCCTCCTATCCGCGCTGGTGTTTATCTACCACCCCGCAGGTCCTGCCCTTCTTTTCCGGAGAGCGCTCACCAGGATACAACGACGACGCAACGGCGTGCATCTTCGGGCTCCGGCGGTCCACCACACGCCCGCAACTCGTACGTGCGGGGCTCGAGTCGGTCTGCTTGAGGCTGGCCGCGATCGTAGACCTCATGAAAGACCTCACGGACGGCGGCAGCATGAAAGGCTCGAGCTCAAGCGAGCACGAACCCGAGGCCTCTTCCGCCGGCGCGTTGGTTCGGGACCACGAAGACGCCGAGGTCGTGACAAGCGGCAACGCTTTCGCGGCCTCGCCGTTCTGGCGGAAGATGCTCGCGGATTCCCTGGGCAGGACGGTCCGGGCGTCCGGCGCGACGGAGGAAACGTCGCTGGGTGTCGCCGTCATCCTCTCCTCCCTGGAGAGCGAAGCCCTGCGGCAGGCGTCGGCGGTGCCTGGCTCGCTGCTGGAAGCAGGGCCCGCAGCGGCGGGGGAGGCATGGAGCTCGAGCCAAGAGATGCGCACTGCGCCGGCCCTAACAGCCGTGCACACGCCGGATGATGCATCGTTCCGGGCGTATCGGGAAGCCGGGCTAGCGCAACACCGGGCGTACCGGGCTGTTTTTGGCGACGCCAGCGGGAGACCCGCACCTCCCCGTCAAGCCCACAGGGACAAAAAGTGACTGATTTGGGAAAAAACAACCTCTTCGAAATATTTTTCCTGGAACAACCTTCGAAAGTTTTCCCGTCGTAAACACACAAAACTCAAACTTTGGCGGCAGCATATGTGTAAAATGGATAACAAAATCGTGCGTCATGCTGATCAACGCGACAAAAGCCTGAACTTGAAGTACAGCTGTGCTTCGAATAACGGGTACCGCCGCTCAAGTGAAATCGGGAAATAGTGTCCGGAGCAATGATATTTAACAAAAAAACAGCGAGGGCCAAACTACCACCCTGCACAATAACCCCGCGAGGGCTCGATGACGCTCCTCCGGGGTTGGCTCTCCAGACAGAGAATGGCCAGTCGAGGAAACCGACGCGGCGTCGTGCTGGTTTAAAAATGAGAACAAAGAACACCATTCCTCCAGAACCATCAAGAATACGGTAACACCTGCATTTCTTAACACGATTCTAGAATGTAATAAGAACAAAGGTAATTTTGGTATGCAACAACGAAGGACAGATCTATCAGGCTCTTACATGAAAGCAAAAACACCACGAGGCACACTGCAGGAGCGATGCTAATAGGCTACCATTGCCCCGTTACTCTGGTTCCGCATAAGATACAGCAATCGATAACGCATTGAATGGAAGGCTGCTTACGTACAAAGAATCGCCATTTTTTCAACGTGAAACAACTCGTGTACATCCAACACCGCCGACACAGAACAGGGCTCGAAAAATACAACTGGCGTGGTACCTGTGCTCTCTAAATTAAATTAACCTTCCTTTTGGAAACTTTGCCGCCCTCCTCAGATCGAGACGAGCGATGATTGGCCATACACACGCTGAAATCAGGCACAGCTGCGAACGTGGTCATCCGTCAAGACCCACCAAAGAACGAACGGATCATACAGAGACATGCACACGGGGGGGGCGATATACAGCTATAAACTCGACCCAATGTATGACTCAACGGCGAAAATACAGAGGAAAGTACGTGGGTTGTGGAGCGAGAATGCATGATTCGTAGCATCTACCGTCGCCTGCAATTGCGCAATGCAAATTCTTGGTCTTCTACGCATTCTAAATTCTTGCGACAGGCACGCTCATACCACCGATGTGTAGTTGGCCCCACATGTGGGTTACTCTCCCTACACCCCGCAGATGGGCAAAACCCAGGTGACGGAGGGTCGAAAACACCCTGCCACACTACCACGCAGACAAACACCCAACCAAAAAAGGCTCGTCTATATGTGTATGCCGTGTGGCAGATATCATGGATGCCAAGGGTGCCGAGCTCTCAACATAGAACATGATCCTCAAGCAGCAAAAGCAAAACGAAACTCAGGCTGCAGGTGCTGCCGTGACTGCGGTCCGAAAGAAATAATAAATTTGTTACACCAAACGTCACAATCTGTCTCGTACGAATGCAGTGCGGCAAATAGAAGCATAAAGCACAAGTACGGCCTGGCACGCACGTGGGACACGAAAGTTTAGGAGGATAAAAGCACAAGCTAGACTCCTTCTCTAGGAGCGGCCACACCAGAAACCGCCCGCCAAACGCCTGCCTGCTCTGTAGGTCCGCCACAACCCAGCAGGTAGGTGTAAAACCGCCAAGCCTCCTTTGTACTTGTTTGAGCAGGACCAAGCCTCAAAACAACGACGACAAGTCGCCTTAACAGCTTTTTCGTGCGACCCGTTCCTCACGCTACATATCCACGATGAGGTGAAAACACACCCCTCGGGCGGGGAGCACAACCAACTACCTCCTTGTTCACCTCAGTCTTTCTCCGAAATGCCATGCACACACAATAAGATGGCACAGACATCAACTCACCATACCCCACAAAAGCCTCTGTCCCTCTCACATGCTCTCCTGCCGCGGCGTCCCAATGCCGAGAAAACTTCCCCACCCAAGGCGGAGGAGCGCGAACGCCCTCTCGCATCTCTCCTCCCTCAACAAGGGTGTTGTGCGCAAATCGGGCGGGGTTCTGCGGAGAGAAAACAAACCAACCGCGGGGTCCCGGAAGGACCACCACCTGAAGCGCGATGCGCTCCCTCTCTCCCCCCCCCCCCTCCCCAAAGCGGCAGTGCTGACGGTATAGCCGATGCTTCTGCCCATGCACACGCTCCCACACTCAAAAGAAGAAAAAAAAAAGCCAGCCATCCACCTTGCGATCCTCAGTTGACCATTGCAGGGACGACAGAAGAAGCGGCGGCAGCCTCCGTGTGTCCCTCGCCCTTCTGCTCGGCTACTCCTTGCCCCTCTCCTCGTCCGTCCGCTTCTGTCGGCGCGGCTTCCCGTTCTCGCTGCGGCGCGAACGTCTACCAAGAGGGCACAAAAAACGGGACATACCGCCATGGACGGGTTGCGAACTGAGAGTCAGTCAGTCCAGCACGGGAATGTTGAAAGGAAATGGCGGGAAAAGGAGGAAAATCTGTCAAGAAGAACGGCGGTCGCCGCCCAGGAAACGCCCGCCAAGACCGCGGAAACAGCGACACCGAAACAACAAGCGTGCTCAACACGTACTGCGCATCCCTTGAAATAGCCTTTGAAAGATGCGCCGGGTTCACCTTTGGCGATGACGGTTGTATAAAAGAAAATATGTACATCATGAAGCCGGTCTGTTTGAAAGGACACGACAGGTACCATGCGCCTATAACGTTGAGGGTTAGGAATATGTAGTAATGAGACACAAACACACCAAAAAATCATATCGTACATCACTATCACAACGCACAACAGTACACGAAACATATCACTACAATGGACGACGTGCATGCGCGTGCGCATGAAGCCACCACCCAACGCAGTAACGTCACACGGAGGAGAATGCACGCGCGCGCAAACCTGTGCGAACTCGCCCTCTTCCACACTCTCGATTGGCTCGCGACAAACAGGGCACGATCCTCGTCGCCTCAACAGGTTCGTGGCGTCGTCAACGCAGGCGATCGAGTGGAAACACGGGATGAATCTGCCCAAAGAGAGAGACGGAGAAACAGACAAGAGACAAAAGACAAGCAAGTAGAGCGAGAGCGAGAGAGAGAGGAGAAAGACAGACAGAGACCGACAGAGGGACAGAGAGACAAACACAGAGGCGCGGGGCGGGGGTGCGAGAGACAAACGACGGACGGGCGGAGAGACAAGACGAATCCTGAGGGCGGCGCGATAAAACGACCAACGGTTGCACTTAAAAGATGAAAGATGGGATAGTCGACGTGAAGGCCGCCGGAGAGGTGGATGAGGGAGACTGAGCCAGTGGGCACAGGTCGAGGGCCATGAGGGAATTAAATTCACCAAAAAAGCGTCAGACTGTTTCCTTCTTGCGTCCTCGAGAACTTATGATGCCCAACAACAGCCCCACCCCATCAAAACATACTCGCCTCCCCTCGCCCCTACACATACATGCGGGCCTTCCCTTCGACTAACGCTTGGGGTCAGCCACTACAGCTCCTGCTTCATCTTTAGTTGCCCTACTGTACCTCGTGTTTGCGGGAGCTGTGAGGCAGATGCGGCAGGTGCGAACAGCAGCACTCGCGACGAATAGTCCCTGTCCCCCCAGGGTCGCCTCCAGGCAGATGTGCACCGTGCGAAGACTGGATCGTTGCGCTGGTAGCTCGATGCAGCACCTTGTCGCGTTGCACCAGTCAATAGTGACACGAGAACACAAAAATGGGTGAGACGTTGGGGGGTAGCCGGGCGTTCTCGCTTGACCCCTGCCCTCATTCGGGATCGACCAACATCCTTACCCTTAAGTTCCAGTGGGGTCAAACCAAGGCGCTCACTATCAAACGACTGCACGCGCCTGCGACCCCGCTTTGCAACAAGAAAACAACGAAAACACACCACGTGCGCTAGCTCTCGCCCCCCCACCCTCCCGCTGTCTCTTACTACCCCTGTCGTGATCGTGCCGCACTTACCCGTGAGCGATGTCCGCCAGCTTCTCGGCGGTGTTGCCGGTCCACTCGATGGCACCGTCGGCTAGAGCTCTCGCTTGGGTGAGCAGGGACATTCGAACCCGATTCACCATCCCCACCGTTGCAACGGCGCCCAATAACAACTCCACCATCACGACTCCCAGGCTGTGTCCAGGAGGAACCCAGGCGGCCGAGAAGACACCAATCATGATACGTAAAAAGAGTTAATGGTTACTCGGTACAACACTCATCTACGGCCGACTACCGATCTCCGTGGGGTACGTTGGTGTCACATGGGTATGTAGGCTCTCTCCTTGCCTCGCCCTCATGTCCATCGCTGGCTACTGATAACTTGAGTCATTCATTGTGTGCAAAGGCGCTCTCGACAAGATATTACATTCGCATGGCGTCGACGATTCGATCAACTCTGGCGAAGAAAGGCCACGGGTCCTCCCCGGGAAACATGTCAACCGTCTCCAGTAGCAATACTTGTGGTAGGGTCTGCTCAGCATCCGCAATCGGTCGACTTCACTCTCTCCACCACCCAGCAAAAGAATCCAGACGTAGACAAATGAATAATCTTTCTGCGTCCGGCTTGTTTCTTTGGTGATACAGAGAGTAAACTCGCCCGCTCGCGCGTGATGATGAGCAGGCCCAACCTTTATGGCCACTTGAGACCTCCCGGCGAGGACCCGATGCTTTTCTTCGCCACAGATGATGGCATGAATCGTCGACTCCATTCGAGCGTGATAACGAGGTACACGCCCCGACACCACAAACAAAAATCTTCTTTCGATGCGGGTGATTGGAAACGCGCGCGAGACATGTAACACTAGAGGATTGGAGACGCCTTGTGTTCCCTCGTCTCAGCTGCGCTGCAGTTTTGTGAGTGTGGAGAACAATCCGAAAGCACGACAAAACAGCAGACCTGTAGATGTCAGACTTGTCATTCAGGGTCCCCGTTCGCATGTAGCCCGGGTCGATGTAGTTGAGGGTCCCTTGAACCTGCGTGGCCGCGGCGTTACTTTCCGCCGCGTCAAGCACACGAGCGATACCGGCATCGCCTAGACGAGCGTTCATGCCCGAGTCCAGCAGGATGTTCGCCGGCTGGGTGTTGCAAGAATGTAAGGCGTGCGGAGCAAGGGCATTGTTTTCAGTGCCCTTCGTGCAAGTTCTGGTGCGGAGCATCGTCTTGTCTCTTGTTGCCCTGACTTGCAACACGAGAATCGGCTGGGCAACCAGCCAATACAAGGCTGATAAGAAAAAATAATCGCAACCACAGTACATAGCACACCCAAGTAGAATACCACACCCCCCTCTAGTAATACACCCCGATGAAAACGTTTTCAGAAGCCACACAGTGCCATCACCGGGGTATTTTTAGGTCTTCTTTAGTGTAGCATACGGTATGCTTCACGTCACAGCTGACGCGCAAGCGAAGCAAGCGCACCCAGGATCGTCTCACACGCGGCACCACGAAAACAATGTTTGTTACCCTCCTCCGCCCCCCACCTTCACATCTCTGTGGATAATCGCTGGTTTGTCGAGCCACGGGGTGTGCAGGTAGTCAAGCGCGTGCGCCACCCCCAGGGCAATCCTGACCCTCATCTCAGCGGATAGACCCCTACGTCTGGCGCGAGTGGCCAATACATCCTCCAGGCTGCCGTTGCTCATGTGAGGGTACACCAGACACCTGTTACCGAGACCGTCGTCGCGGTCGCCGGTGTTGTGAGTTGGTATTGTCATTTTTGCTGCGGTTCGTTGTTGGTGTTGCTGGGAGGTTTGAACTGCTCGTGCGGATGCATCGTGCGTGTTGCGGGGATTAACGACACGCTTCTTCTCCGGCTGCCGTTCGTCGCTCTTGCAGAGTTTTACGCGCATGACCATGACAGCACTTCCAAGAGCGTTTGGTGTATCTCTGTTCCTTGCTGCAAGTCAACCAGCTCATGCTTCTCTGCTTGAGCAGATGATCGCTGCAAGTAGCATGCAGTCGATCATTCTCGACCTTTTGCTCCAGTTCATGGCGGCATACTGTAGTCCAACCAGACACCAACCCAAGCCACAACGTTGTACGCACAAATATGCCAGCGCCAGACATAGCCAGCCCAACCGCGTGTCACACAAAAAAACAGTACCCGTGCGCTAGATTAGCCCACAACCTCTCACTATAGTAACCCGCATGAAGAATGTCACAGATGCGAATTATCCTCATGTATCAGACAACGTGTTGTTTCCCCTCTGCTGTCCTTTGTTCTCACCAAGGGTCTGTTGCGATGCCCAACAGCGGGACGATGTTCTCGTGCAGGCACATCATCAGCACCTTAACCTGTGCAGCACCCGAAGCAGCCAGCGTAGACAACAAACAGCAGAGTGCCAAGCCATGACTAATCGCGACGGGTGAGCAGCGAGCGGCTGTACGCAAATACCCAATGCTGCTATGCACACCCTGCCTGAGGAATCAAAAATTCTTGGTCCAACAGCTGCAGTCGGTGAGGGTGCAAAAACTTACTGTGTAGACAGGACCCGGGAGACGGGGTCCTCTATGGGTGTGCTACGTAGGCGAGTTCTGTTTTCGCGGGTACATACGGGGATACGATGGGCCAGTGGTACCAGACAATGTCGCAGTTATCTCTCGCACGCTTTTCTTTGTCCCTGGTTGTGAACCAATGGCTAGGTCACTGTGCAAAGAGTCTCAGTCAGTGCGACGAGCGGCAGCGATCACCCACATCGCACCACAGAAACGGCAAGAAAGAAAAAAAAAGCGGCCATTGACAGCAAAACTGGTACTGCACACCGCCGTCTTCTATCGCATTGCAACGCCGGTCCCTCTGGTGGTACGTACCTCTCTCTGAAAGTTCTGCAGCCCCTGCAGTGCCTGGGGCGACATCCTCTTGATGGCCACCCTCTGACAGTCTTGATCCTTCTTGAGCTTCATCTCCCCCTGATACACCTCGGCCGACGACTGTTAAGAAACCGGGCAAACAGAGTAAGCACATACACACGGTGGTAGCGAAGCAACAGTAGGCGCATCGGCAACGCACCACGACCCTCAACACCAGCAGCAGCAGAAGCAGCAGCAGCCGAAGCGACGGGGGTACTCGCCTACACAACGATATTGGCAATCAGAAATATCAGTAGGAAAACTGCGGGCACGTAGTCGCCGCCATTGCACGTGGATGTAATGAGAGAGACGGTGGTCAAGTCTTGGGGGAACAGAGCTATACCTCATCGACAAAGCAGGGTTATCATCACATCGCAAACAAGAGAAATGCTGCCTGGCTCAAGATACCCCGTGCCCTTGTCGCTCCCTTTCCGTCACTCCCAAACGCATTCATCTGTTCTCATCTCGCTCTCTCTCCTGCGTTCTTGCGAAGCTCGCTTTCCCTTGTCGCACACACGCGTCTACCCTCTCTCCGTGTTCCACTCACCCCGCGGCCAATCAGCTTCTTGGGCGAAAAGCTGTCGCAAGCTATCCTTATCTCTTCCGCGGTGAAGAGCGTGGTCGCCCTCGCCGCCGTCATGGAGTTCTTCTCGTGTTCCTCTGATACCTCCGCAAGTGCCGTTTCGGCCCTGAAACACACGAAACGGAACGGATTCAACCACACCCTGAGATTTTTCTTATCTCCTCCTTGGACATACTGTTGCTAGGTGTTGTGGTTATATGAGTTCGTGACGAGAAGCACGAGCACACGGAGTACTCGATACAAAACACCTGTTTTCTGTCTCGCACAAAGGCAAACTGGAGTCTGTTTTATCGCCGACACGCCACAGCCGTAGTGCATTCTCTCAGGCATTTACTCATGTAACACCACCGAAAACAACGCGAGCGACGCCCTTCTTCGCCAAGCGGCGGGAAAGCAGGCCAACTGCAATTGGAAGAACCGTGGTTTGTATCCCAAGCACTCTATCTACCGAACACCAAGCACACCTAGCTCCCCTCACCCAAGCTGAGAAAGACAGCGTAAAAAGAGCACCATATAACTGGAGATGGCGGTTCTCTAGAGATCGCAGTTCCCGCCCTCACCATCGCCCCCTCAATCCACACCCCTCTTTGTTTATCACCGCAAATAGACTTATGTTCAATTAGACACCCCCCAAAACTGCACACCTCTGGTCCCGCTTCTCCAGGTGGAAGAACATTCCCTACCCCCCTTCCCACCGCACTAATGCTCCCACATAGACAACCCAAATCCCTGACTTGCAGCACCGGCGAGTCACTACGTCATTGTCCAGAGTGGAAACCTCAACTCTGCTTCGGGCGAGTCCCTGTACCACTGTTCGGAGTGGAAGCCTATCTTTGCTTGAGGCGAGGCACGAGGGGGCCAGGCTCAAACGTTGGACAAACATTTGGACACGTTTTTGGGACAACGAAACTCGATGTTGCGGGGTATCTTCGTCCCAAAGCAACTAACTGGCTGGGACGCACACCCAACCTTTGACACACAAGCGTGCACCCTCCCGCGGGTGGCGGGACAACGATAGGTAGGTTTCACAGACAGAGCGGGAGCAGCGGTACACAGGTTGGAAGCGATGGTATCCAGAATTGTGTTGCTCCTTGTGCCTGCTCGGACGTGAACGGTGTTTCCACACCCACCTAGAAACCCTGCGCATGAGCTCCGCGACGTGCCTCTCCAGCCCACGGATGCGCGCCTCGCTGGATCTCAGCTGCGTCTGAAGCGTCGCCACCTGGAAAAAGTATCAAGAACAAACGCAACAAAAAGAGACACAGACGTTCAAACTAAAGAAAGCCAACAAGGTTGACTACCAACCTCCTCCCGCCAGAAAGCTGCATCTCCTTGTGCACGAACGTCGACAGCACTCACGAAGACCGAAAGAGAGAAAACGAGAAATCGGACAAACGAGCTTGGTAGGCAAGAGGGGGGGCGGGGGCGGGGGAAGGTACAAGCTACGATGTGCGCCCTCCCCTCCCCCCGTTCCATTGGTATCCGCCTCCAGGCAAACGGCTGGTCGCGACAGAACACAAACACAACGTTCCAGAGAATATCCTAGCCTCCTCCTGTGACCCCTCCTCAGGTCATGCCCTTTACAAGGGTTCTCCGTTTGAAGCAGCGTTGAGAATGATGCATCTTCGTTGCTCAGCCCGGTTAGCACGGTCGATGCTGACAAAACACCCTCATGGAGTCCCAGACCATGACCTTTAGAAGCACTTTTTCCATTTTCAACCGCACTGAGACAAACGTCGTTTCATTGGTCAGCCGGTTAGTCAGTCGATGCCGACGTGCACGCACCCTCATGGGGTCCCAGATCATGGCCTCTAGAAGCAATTTCCGTTTTCAACCGCACTGAGAGAAAACGTCTTTTCATTGGTCAGCCGGTATGCACCGTCGATGCCCTTTCAAAAACACCCACACAAACACACCTCGGCGACCTTGGTTTGCACCCCCTGCTCCAGCCCGCGGATGCGGTGCTCCTTCTGTATGAGCTGCGCCGTCAGGCTGGCCACCTTGTGCCTCGCGTCGTGGTCGGAGGGGCCGTGACCGTGCGACTGGATGCCTCGGCTGCTGTTGCTCCGCGTTCGGCTGCGGTCACGAATACCGATGTTAGCGCTGTCTGCCGCGTCCTCGGAGTTCCGCGCCTGCCCGGTGTAGCAAGGCGCGGTGTAAGGGTTGGTTGTTGTCACCAGACGTGGGGACTGGCGGTGGAGAGTCGTGGGGGTAGCTGTGGTCGTCGGTGCTGTAAGGCTACAGGTGGTCTAGAACGGGGTTGGTAGCAACGGATTGGTAACAAGATACCGCGCACACAGCAGTAGCGGGGGTACTAGTGCCACAGCCAGAAGGCGACCTCGTGGGAGGCTTTCGACTGCATTGGTAAAACGCGTGCGCTCGGGGTGGCGCTGCCTGAGGCTGGCCAAATCGCAGACACCTGACGGCGCAAACCACCCGAAGACGCAGAAGCAGTCCTAACGTAACTGTTCTGTTGTTGACATGTCACAGAATCTCCCCCGAACAGGCAAGAAGGCTACCGTGAGCCGCATCATGCAAGACACCATACACCCGGAGTCAGTCTGCGAAAAGCCGACATGTATCGCCATAACAGGAGTTTCCAACACAGAGCAATGATCACGTGTTCCTCTCAACGACTTTACCGACGAGTGATGCCCTTCTCGACATAAAAAAAAAAAAAATTGCCCTGCTATTGAGACATCGAGCTCGAAAACTCCAACATATCCCACATGATAGCACGGGGTATTCGTGACTCATCATCACATGATACCACGACAAAATCGAACACCCCCACATGATACCGGGGGGCGGGGTCTTCGCGAGGCGTCATCGCCCATTGCTCCCACACACCTCCTCAGCCGCCTGCACGGCATCCTGCGCTAGGTCCATCCCACCGGCCAGCGTCCTCCTGATCACCTCGCACAACTCATCATCAGGCTCTGCCCCCTCCGATAGCTCAACCGCCTCGCCGATTACATCCGCCGGAGTCTTGCCTCGGAAATCTCGCGCCTGGTCGTCCCCTCTGTTGCAGCCGCAGCAACAGATCGATGGGGCGTACGTAAACGCACATTTGACGATTTCACGTCGTGCGGTATAACTTGATGGGAATGCCGTCGGGCGGTGACAAAAAACACTGGCAATACCTTCCACAGAGAGACCGGGAGCACACGATGAACGCGGGTGTGTACACCTGTGACCGACTGTACTACATACATGTAGCACGGAAGAGTAGAACGGGGCGAGAGGTTTCGAAGAGAGATAGACAGGGACATAGAGAGACAGCGCCAGAAGCGACATCGAGTGACGGGACCCATGGAAGGTTTCAGACTACCAATCGCAACCATGCATACAGGCAGTAACGCATGATGAGGAGAAACCCATGCTTTTGGGGTCGTGCGCAATTTTCAGCCGACGACCACGACCCCCCCCCCCCGTCATCCCCCGCACCCTCCGCGTCTCCCCCCGACCCTCGCACTCACCCCCTGGCCAAGAGAAGCTCCACACAGTGAGGCTGAAGGTGGGCACACGCGGAATGGAGCGGCGTCGTCCCCAGCGTGTTCACGAGGTTCACGTTCGCTCCCGCGCCCAGAAGTTCGGCCACGACGCCCTTGCATATTGTTTTCGGAGCCCAAAAAGAGAGTGGGGGGGGGGGGGGCACCCCGGTAAGTTTTGCAGTGACGACCATGATCAACAGAAGAGGACGGAGCCGTGGAGGGGGATGCCTCTGTGGAGCACGAGGCGTGTGTGTACATCTTCGAAGTAGGTATTTTCGCTTTCCGTGAGAGCTAAATGTCCAACGGCGAAACACCAACACTACCGAAGACCGGCCCGGTGCCCGTACCCATTACAGACTTCTCATATCATATAACACCTCCGTAGTTCGCGGGATGGGCAAACAGGAATCGGTCGACGTTTCACAACATATCCGATCATCGCACGTAGGTAGTCGTTGCTGCTACAACACAGGCTGACTGCTTCGCTGGTAGAAATTCGCATCTGCTTGATGGCGCGCAACAAGCAGCGGTGCAATATTTTTCGATACATGAACTCACTATTCTGCGTGATTGTAGTTATTATTGTGCCTGTATGTCAAAGACGAAACAAAGATAAGACTTTGTGTATGCATACAGATTGAATTTTGTTCTTGTTGGTGCGCTGGGCTGTTCGAGTCAACAACACGTCAGCTTGCATGAGCTGTTGAGCTTGGGGGACGTCACCCCGCAGCTGGCACACAGCTGTGGCTGTGGATTGGTTCCTGCTGCCTGCTGCCTGCTTTTATGTTCCTCTGGCATCACCCCTTGATGACACCACCGCCTTGCTCTCCGGTACATCGTATGTACACTGGTACACTCTTGCTGTGGTGCTGTACTGGTTTGTATTCTACACCATTCGCACTCACCGGGGACCCGCCGATTGATGCGTTATGCAAGGGCGAGAGGTATGTCGAGTCTCGCATGTTCGGATCGCCGCCTGCGTAGAGAAACTCCTGAGAAGGACACGACCGGGGCCGACAAAGGGACAGGATGGTTGCGTCGACGGATCCGTATGTACCTACTACGCAGACGGGCCCATGGTACAGAGTGAAAATACGGAGAGCCTGGCACTGCTGTGTACGGGATGCTGAAATGGGGCCTAGGGTGCCGGGTAACTCGATGCCCTAGAGGGCGGCATATTAGATGGGCAACCGAAAGTGGGACCACTGGTTAGATTCTCCGTGTGCATGCATAGCTCAGCCGGCTCCCGACTCCCCTTGTCGCCACTGGTACATGTAGTCTCTAAAGGAGTCGATTTGAGTGGGGAAAGCAAGAGACGAGGAAAGGAACCCAACATTTTTTCACACCTCTCTCGAGCGACGTTTCGGCGGAATTTTTTCCTCAGAGGTACCTTAGGGGGGTACATGCACACCCGCCGCGAAAACAGATACAAATGCCTGTGAGGGCTTGGACCCGAAAGTAGTCACTCGCAACGTCAACTTGAGGTGTACTGGAACACAAACGTTTGCGGTGAACACTATTGTACGATGTACGTGCGAAACTTTCAATTTTCAGTCTTCATGATGCAGCACACAGCGGTACGTGGACGTGTTTCCCGGAGAGCAACTTATTACGCGCAAAAACGTGTGGTTAACATCGGCACCATGAGCGCGGCCGGGTGTGGGATGCGAGAAAGCAGCAGTTGCTTTGCAAGACGCTGCAGCACTTAGCCGGTGGTCGGGCTTTTTAGGTCTACCTTCTGTGACCTGTGACCACGTCCGTCTCTGGCTGCTGTACCAACGTGGAGCTGTTCAATGCTCTACACGAACACACTGCATAACAGCGCTTCGCAGTATGCGTCGCGTCATGCAAACAGCAGTACACCCACGAGCTGGTGTCGTGATTCGGCATTTTACGAAGTAAATGCTTTTTGTTCTGTAACACGCGCGTTGCTGAGAGGTGAGCACGGCGGTGACGCCAGAATCTCTCTTGCGGACTCAAGCTACCAAAATCTCCAATCAATGGTTGGGCGTACCTGGACATCCTCGAGGAGGCCTTGGCGGGCAGCTTGCCAGACATCGACATCAGCCATTGCTAGCGAATGGCAGTTATCCTTTTCGAGTTGTGCCCCTTGTGTGTTGCCGTCGTCCTTGTCTATTGTTGCTGGTTGCCCTTGCCGCGCCTGCAACTACAACGAGGAGGGGGTCTCAACAGCTGAATACTTCATACACACCTGGGGGGGGGCGTGTGCCGTTTTTTTTTGGGGGGGGGTCCAAAAAACACGTCTTCCTACTTACGTTGGTTGTTGGTTGTATTGTCCGAATCTACAAGGAGCATGCGGAGAGAGAGAGAGAGACAAGAGACAAGGATGTATCGCGGAGATCAACAGAGTAGGCATGCGGGTGAAATCATTACTCGAAGAAATCTAGACTGTCCCTAGGTACATGTAGACTTTCGATGTACTTTTTTTTTAATATTTTTTTTGGTGTATCCCGTGTGTCAGGGTGCCAGACCCGTTTATACGCCTTAGATGTCTTGACGACTGCGAATCCCTGCCATTTTTGTTGGAAGTACTGTAGGCGTACGTTAATTTGCCCCCATTTTTTTGCTTCCTATGCAGACATGAGGAAGTTTATGTTGTACTGGACGACCTCGGGAAAACAGACCTCAGAAGCATACCAAGAAATGTATGTGTTATGTGATGTGTGTTTGTAGCATACACAGTGCGTCCATGAACTTTTTCGGAATTTTCGGAATTTCCTCCGTCTGGTCTTCGCCACGATTTGTAAATTTCAACATCTCATATTATTATGTGAGCGATACAGCACTAGTAGTCGACGCCCATACATACTAACGCGCACAATGTGAAGACGATGAGACACCCTTAACTCCCGCCCCATTATACAGCAGCAGTATACAGGTTCTCGGTCTGACTGGCAGCATAGCGTACATTGCTTTTCTCAAATCACAACACATTGAACGCCATCATCAACACTGGAACAAGCCAAAAGATACGCCAGTAGCATCATTCACTGCGACGACAACACCACCGGCGTTTCCTCTACGCCGTCTTGCTCATCGTCAACCCTTGCCATCACAGAGTGTCTCGCGAGGGGTCCCCAATCTTGCTCCGGGTTGTGAGCGTGCAAGAACCCACCGCCGCCTCGCGCCACCCCTTCACGTCTACTGCCCCCGGGGCCCGCACGCCTCGCATCAAAATCGGCGTCCCCAATCGACTGCATCTCGCGACGAAGGATGGCAACTCCCGCCTCGCGAACTGGGGGCGGTTGGGGGTTGTCTCGAGCCCAACATCGTAGGACGTCCCACACCGCGGCATCAGGGGCATTTGTTTTTACAGCTAGGGGCTCCTTGTGCATGCCGCTGGTACGGTAGCCGGCTGCCTCCAGCGCCCCCATCACCTGTGAGTTTGGTCGACGCCAGCAGGGGTGTGTGCGTGCTGCAGTGGTGGGGGGGATCGGGACTTCAAAGGCTTGGCGTATGACGAACATGAAGAGAAATTCCCGTCAAGGGTGTCCTGCTCGGCAGCAGGATAAGATCCGTACCAAGCGGTACAAGTTTGCGGTATGACCACGGTCACCGCATATCTCTCAAGGACCTCAACCATCGCCAAATGTCCCTACTATCAAATGACACGAGAAAAACATCGTACTGTATGATTCACATGCAGACGCCTGCCCCTTTGTGGAGACTCTCACAGAGCCCGCACGGTCAGCGAGATAGCACAACCAAACCCTCACCTGTTCTCTTCGTGGGTGTTTCTTCAAACCGAGGGTGGCGAACATGTCGCGCAGGTTGTAGAAAAGAGGCACGTCCAGCAGCTCTCGAGACACCGCCCTTAGCAGCGACTCTGCCCGAGCTCTAGCAGCTAACCGCGGGCGCGGCACTGCAACGCGAGAATCGGCGCCGTCGCCACCCAAAGACTTTTCTCCGTCCGACGCGATCGCAATCGCTCTAGTCACCCACGATTCATCGTGCAAGGGTCCGCTCCATATAGGCCCACCTGCCATCAAGCCAGCCCCGGTCTCCGGACACACGCCGCCAAGACCCTGCGGTAAAGACTGTTGAGTGTCTACCCCAAGGCCCGCCCCGCTCGTAACGCGTTCGAGCTCTTGCTCCTTCGACTCTGGCGGGGCTCCCGCGGGAAGCGCTGTCGACGGATCGGTACTGTCGCTCAGGCGTCGTGCCTTCCGTGACCTCTCCGTCTTTATGTGCGGCGATTGTTGCTTTGGCGAGAGGACCGGACGCAGAAAAAAACTAGGGCAGGACTCGGACTGCAAAACGTACGAGGTGCTCTCCTGCGCCGCCGCGAGGGCAGCCTTGGGAGAGCGCGACACGCGCACGAAGACGCGGACGTAGTGGTCTATTGCGACGCTGAGGACCGGCTGGATGCTCCGACGCTGCCGCCCAGCCGCAGTGTTTATTGCGTGCAGCAGAATGCGGAGAGACATCTCGTGGTGGTATCCGCTCCTGGTCGGCACACTGCCGTAGCGGGTCCAGGCGACTTCCGGCTTGTTTGGCGTTGTAGCATAGCGGAAAAAGGCGACGGAAAAACGAGAGGAAGTTTGCAATTGGAAGGTTGGCTGGAGACTGGATGAGATGAGTGACATCGGTAGGAGTGGGAAAGGGGGCCGGCGATTGAGCAATCGGGCACCGTGTGGCCAAAGAGAGAAGGGCGTTGCCGAGAAACGAGTTGGTGTGTGACATGCTAGGTACAAAGGGCGACTCCATTATACCTGCGCCCCGCTCAGGACAGGCATGTCGGTTGACGTGACGCATAGCAGACCACCATCAGTCACTGCCTGCACGCTGGCGTCAAGGAAACCAGCCGCGCACCCAAAAGGGTCGATATCGATGAGATCGTAGGTTCCGATCCCTCCGGCTCTCGCTGAATAGAGGGTGTCCAAAGCGTCACCGCGATGTACCTCTAGCTTGCTTCCCACTCCGCATTGAACGGCAGCTTGTCTGGAGAACGTTTAACGGTTGTAGTGGGCACCAAGGGTGGGATTAGAATCAATGCGGTTTTTCGGTTCCCTGATAGCAGAACCAGTTCAAGGGAAGAACTACAGTCAAATCAAGCCGAGGTATTAACCGAGCCTTCGCGTGAGGGGAATATGTTGTCTATGCTAGCACGACCGCCCACCAAGAAGACGCAAAGCAATACGTTTGGATCGTTTTCAAGATCAGTCCAAGGCAGTCCAGTGCGCAATGCATCGCCGAATACGAACCTGCCGCATTCAGTGCAAAGAACGAAGTTGTGAGATAAAGCGTTTGTACCCTAGCTAAGGTCGTGTCGGGAGATTTAAACGGTGGCGACGATTTAAGCCCACCTTATTGTGTTTATCGCCGCTTCATCGTAGTCGTTTGCAACCACTCTTTGGACCCCGGGCACCTCGGTCAAGTACCTGCGAGATAAGCAGATGATATTCAAGTAGCAGCCAGGAAGACGGCGAATGTGAGATACACAAGGACAACGGGCATATGGCGTCAGATCAGTTGAGACATACAGGACGAGGAGGTTTGTGGAACGCCGGGTACTGTTGAAGCGAACGAGTACCGCCGCCGTCGTGACATACCGCGTGCACCGACTCCGGTGAGGTGGTAATTAGAACAGATTTTTCAACAAAAAAAGCACTAGGGCATGCGTATTTACAAACTGCACACCTCAACGCCCTCACTCCGCTTGCAGCGAACGCGTCGAGGATGAGCAACCCGTCTTCATCCTCCCTTGGCTCATCTTGCTGGTCCTTGTTGTTGCTCATGCGTTCCACGCCTACACCCCAACAACCTCGCGACAAACGCCCCAGTGCCCCTTTTACAAACGCCCTAACGCCCCAAACCTTACTGCGTCTTGCTTCTCCACTTTGTGCCATGTCATGTGCAAGAGAAGATCTGCTGCGTAAGGTACCATCGGTAGGAGAAGGCCGCGAAGTAGGCGGAATCTGCCTCTTCTTGCGCTTCTTGCCCGCTAGCCGTTCCCGCACCCTTTCCTCCGCGAGCACATTCGCCATCAAGACGCTGAGGTCTCGGTTGATGGCCCCAACCCTGTTGTAGAAAACCGCCCCTTCACCAGCACTTTCTCCCGCCAGCAGCTCGGCAACTCTCTCTGCCCCTCCCGTGGCAAAAGCTTCTTCGCTGCAGCCAACAGCAGTCGCTGCTGCCCAACAACCGGTACGCCCCCTGCTTGCTCGGCGGGCGACTGCTGCTGTGCTTTTCGACTGCTGTGAGCTGCACTTACTCAATGTATCAATCGCTGGTACGATTTTCGCCGCACTGTCTGCAAATGAGTTCGTCCAACGACCATGCTTGAGCAAAGCTTGCCCGAATGCCGCGACAAGGGCTCTTTTGCCACCACATCGCATATTGCACCACCGTCCTTCCTCGCTTGTCCTGTCCGCTTCCGCAGGTCCCCGTCCAAAGGCCACCCAACGATGCCCGCCAAGTCGCGGTTCACGTATTATAAAGTAGCTTCCACTCCCTATCGATGCAAGTACTCGTCCCCTCCTTCAGATGACGTAGCAAAGAGAGGGTTAGCAGTTCGCAGCATGCAGCTCTGGGCGGAGCGCGAGCCGGGGTTCATGAAAACGAGGCGGAGGCGTTGCGCTGCGAACCACCTTAATCGCGCCGCCTCCGCTCCCGAACAGGCAACTAATGCTCCGACTCACCCCGGCCACCGCCGTTCAGCGTTCAGCCAATCGCACACACCTCCGCTTGCTGCTGCTGAGTGTGTGGAGGATGCGAGATGGCATCGTATGGGAACCATCCACCCAGAAGGAGATAGCCTACTACGACAAGTTGTTCGGGGTCGTCGACCGGGATAACACATCGACGCTAGACGGCAAGGAGGCGGTACAATTCCTCGGACTCAGCGGCCTAACCAAAACTCAATTGAAGGTGTGACACACGAACATGATGTATGTGTTTTGATTATTCCTTAATGATTTGTTCCTCACTACTGATGCGCACATTTTGGTCATCACTAAAGGACTGCAGTTACTTTCATTGCATTCGCTACTAAACAGACCGTCAGCGGTCTTCGCGCATTGCCTCCGAGTGCACTACACATTTGATGATACTCGTATGATAGGCATAGGCAGAATACCGTGCGGCCAAGACTGCTGACGTTCGAAATAGATAGGATGACAGCACTTAGAAGTACGTCGTTTCTATGGTAGTTTTTCATGAGTTTAAATATTAATATTTATTGAGAGCTACTCACAAAAACAAGCGATACAGGCTCTGGAAGCACGCGACCTACTACGGGTCTGTCCTCCCGTTCATGGGTTTGTAGGTGTATCGCGTGAAGAAGCTGATAGAGTATGGCAGCCCACCCGATCAGGGATGCTGATTACTGGCAGGGAGAGCATTTAATATGGTCACTTTTGGTTCATCACGATCATGTGGATCCTTCTTGGTGTTATCGTTGCCGGCCCACTACGGAACTCTGCGAGGCTCATAGACTATATTGTAGACATGAGAATTACAGTAAGCGCACGTTCGCAATGCCCGATTATCAGATACCCCAAGCAAAGACATTGTAAAATCAATAGTCTACCTGGTGTATTGCAGTTATTCTATCTTAGCAGCATTTACAGAGAAACTAGAACACACGAAGCCTAGGCGCCGAACAAAGTAAGAACGTCCATCTGTACCTTCTTTTCCTTCGTTTGGTGAGTTTCGTGCGTAACTCGTCCCGTGCCTCCCAACTCACCTTGTCTCATGTGTCACATCCCGAATCAAGGATGTGTGGTTTGTCGCCTGTTCGCCTGGACAAGCCGTGCTTCAGCGTCAAGGTTTCTATGTGGCCATGCGCGCGGTGGCCTTGGCACAGAGCGGCGACTCAACTGTAACTCGAGAGAGAGTCCGAGAGACCGCGACAGATTCCATCGCAATGGCGACGTTCAAGGGGATACCAGCCGCATCTGTTAAGTATTCAAAGGGGAAGAAACAGAACTCTAAAAAGGAGGAACTGGCCAAACAGGAGCCCAAGACCGCTGCACCGAAGAACTCGACCGGTCCGAAAAAGAGTGCTGCCGCAACTCTCGCATCCACAAAAACAACTGCCGGGCACAAGACTGCGTCAAAAGAAGGCAACCCCGGTAATAGCGTAAAAACGAAGAAGAATGCAGGTGCCAATTCCGCTAAAGGAGGCACTAACAATGCTCAACCTTCTGAGAAAAAACACAGCAACAAGGCGGCTGTGAATGTAGGAAAAGGAAAGAGGACAACCAGTCCGGAGAGAGGCAACGGCGGTGGTAGTCGTGGCGACTCGTCTTCATCTTGTTCGAAAGCGGCTTCCGATAGCGACAACGATGGCGATGACAGCAGCCGTTCAGGAGGCGAGAGCACGGAAGATGACGACGATGGTGACGCATCTAGAGCTAGTAGCAAGTCGCACGGCGACTCCCACAACAGCAAGCATGGCGAAAGAAGCGAAAGCAGTGACAGCGGCAGCGACAGCGATCGCAGCGTGAAGCTTCCTAAAGAAGGGAGACACCAACGCGACCAAGACGACGACAACAACCAATCGAGTCTTTCGGGGAGTAGCTCTAATTCGGATACTGGCTCTTCGATGGGCCCGGAAAATGAAAATAGTGATGATGAATCGGGATCGGTTGGAGGCCTCGACAGCACAGCAGGCACTAGTAGAGGAAGCAAGCGGATAGGATCCGCGCGGTCCCAATCCTCTTGTGCCTCTTCGTCAGCATCCTCGCCGTCAGGCGAGGAGGAGGAGGACGGAGGCCCCGATCCTTTTTCAATGTCGGAAAAGGCACGGGCTAGATACCAGGTGTGTTGTTCTCATTTGTGTGGGGAACGTGGTCTGTGAATGCGCGCTTTCGTTGTTCTGGTAGAGAGTTGCGTTGAGTTGCCGACATCAAGCGTGTTCATGAGTTCCACGTTGTTGCTATGTTTTCGGTCTACACTTGTACAAGTACTATGAAGGTTCCTATTGCAGTTCTTGTTAGCTGAACACCCCTTTTCGCGCACACACATTGATCCGGACGGCATCAATCCAAGACAACCGTTTGATCCGCGCATTATACGCACGTCGAAGGAAGCTGAAGTCTAGGATTAGGTGATACGTGGTAAAGCCGGTTCTTCAGATTAGCTTCTTTTAACAACAGTAGTATTTTCCCGTGCTCGACACACCTTGTGTCAGAAAAATTGCAGCGCAGATAAATTACTTGTTGGGTCGCCGCATTTGTGCTGGTTGAACAATACAACTCTACCTTGAAACAGGCGATATTTTGCAAAGTCGACGCCACGGGGACTGGATCATTGAGCGGAAAGCAGGTAATAGGGTTGTTCGCGAAATCAGGCCTTGATAAGGCAGCTTTGGCGGTCATTTGGAGGTGAGAAATGGCGCCATATATATGTTTGACTGCAAAGAAGCATTGCTGCATCTGATGAATTAATAAAAAAGTGCTAATTTGGTTCAGTTGTTCATTCTCTCTCTGGTCGGCAACGTGAACGTTTGACTGGCACAAAAAGGGATGTGATCTAGACGCTCGGTGTGTTGTGGTAGGTCCACGAGAACGACCGCCGCACAACCATTTGGCAGCTCGAGGGGTACTCCGAGTGGAAGAGTAACCGTTCTCGAGAAACGCCCGCACTCACCACTGCAAGCCCCTCTATTACTGTAGGTTGCTTCAGGGACTCTCCCCGACCGACGCAAAGCAGGGGTCTGCGGTCTTCCTTGGGTAAACCGTCCAATCCATGTGTCTCCCGAAGCCATTCACTTGGCCTATCCAACCGATTCAAATACCGAACTAACAGGCTTCCGAATCTTGTGTTGTGTTTGTGGTCCGATGGAAGGTTGTCAGATCTAGACGAAGACGGGAGCCTCGCAGCAGAAGAGTTCGGGATCGCTTTCCATCTCATCTTTTGCGCAACCCAACGCAAGCTGAACGTGCCGGATGAGCTTCCCCAAAGGTTTGTCGGCCAAGGTCTATATGGCGATATTCTTATCCCTTCGGTGGCGTTTTCTCCTTTGTCCGAATCTCGCCTGGGGGAACTGCAGTCAGTCTTCGTCACCCAGAAACGATTGCAGGCGTGTTCATCTGCTTTAGGGGCTGCGTGCTAGCACTGCAGCTGATTCGGAGATGTGGTGCAGTTCTCTCCGTCGCACTTTAACGCCTGCTCTAGCCTCTTCCCAACAAGCTCTAGAACGATACAAGGAGAGCAGTTCAGTGTTGTGGAGCAAGGTTCTTCTCTTAGGCACTTGGTCTTGATGGCGCCCTATGAGGAAGAAACATGGAGTGTACTTTGCATTGGAGTTATTGCTTGTGCTCTCGAAACGTCACGCTCACTTGTCTACGGTAGGACCGCACCTTAACCCTCTTAACCTCCCGGTTTCGGCAGCCTGTGGCCAGCTGGGTATGTACCACCGTCGGTCCTCGCTCGGCGTGAGGAGGAGGCGGAGAAAAAACGAAAACAAGAGGAGCAAGAGCGAAGACGAAGGGAAAAGACAGTAGCCGACAGCAGCGGGAAGTCCAACAACGATGCCGCTGCAGGCACCACGAAGAAGAAGAAAAAGGACAAGAGTAAGAAGATCGGGGCAGGCAAGAAAGGTGACGACGAGAAATGACCAATGGGCCGTGTCAGCAGATAAAGCAGCGATTGTCCTGTCGCAGACAGGGAACCGTTTTCGACATGGTGCCAAATGCATGTGGTTTGCCCTTCTGTGGGTTTGTTTTGCTGTAGCTGCTCAGTTCCCGGTGCTTGGTTTCATCTCCCTGATTTCGTGTTCGTTCAACGCTGAGCGCACTTTCTTCGAGCGTCGTCCAACTGCCGCGCGGATAAATCGGTTGCGCATACGGAACAGGCACTGAGGTAGCTAGCAGAGGAATCGGCAACGAGAAAACGGAGGAAGACAAAAAGAAGGAGGAGCGTGAGCTAAGAGCCGCGAGGGAGGCCGCTTCGCTGCAGAAGAGGGAGGAACTGGCCAAGAAACGTGCCGAGAAACGTGCAAAAACAAAGAACAAGAAAACCCGGAGTAGAAACAACAAGAATGACGTGAGTAAGTGAGCAACCGAATGTGCATAGGAAGCAAACTGGCGCATGCCTTATACGTGTACAAAGAGTAACGGCGGAAGTGGGAACCCTACGCGCTGTGCATGCCGCTCCCATGTCTGAATGGTTCGGGTTGGTGTCCTCGTCACCTTGTGGCGTTTGGAATGTGCGTTCGAATCTTGGCGTGTCACACCAAGTGACATTTCGCTCACAAACAATGTGGAGAGCGAACAATACGTGTGTAGGCAACCAATTCAACTGCGCGGTCCACGAGAGCAATGGACGACTGAATGGTTTTCGCGAAAACGATAAGGCTAGCACAACACAAGCAAGGTGGAGATCGATAGAACAGGACAAATGTGGTCTTCTTCGTGTGTGACCTCATCTGATGCGTAAAAAAAAACATGCCGAAAACATGTTCAAAATTGACGCCCAGAAGAAATGGGACGAGACACACATGTGTACGCCGAAAACCTCTAGCGCCTCTCAACTTAGAACTATCCACCCTCCGTGCTCTTTTGACTGGTGAAAGTTGTCGGCTCACCCTTGGAAAGAGAAGCCTACTTGCGTGAGATATTGGGCTCCCACCTGAAGCTGTCGCTGCATGCATGAGGGATACTCCGTTGGGAGCGGCTGTGAGTCTCGTCGGCATTTCGAACCTTCAGTTTTTCCTCAGTGAAGCTACTCACACCAGCAGCCGTCGCGTGAACTCGTCACAGGCCGCAGTCGACAGAGGAGCTCCTGCAGCACCGACGCCGAAAACTGAAGCAGAAGCCGCGAAGCTACCTCCAACAAACGACAAAGTGCCGAACGATGAAGCTGCCGAAACCGCGACTTCTCCGAGATCAGACGCGAGTGACGCCCCGTCTTCGGTGGGCGGAGGTGGCGCCACCCAAACCGACCACTCGGGGGTAAGCGTCAAGGAATCAGCGACCCTCAGTCCTTCCGTCGGCGTGAATCGTAGTGCGAGTGGTTTATCGAAAGGGACGCCTGAGAGTCCGTGAGTACGCCAGGCCTGGCTAAGAATACAAACACACACCTGTCATAGCTTTGGGTCGCTCGGGAGCGGGGGGCGTACCTGCTTGAACGTAGAGTTGATGGCGTTCAACGGCGTCGCGGACTTCGTCCAAGATAACGTTCTTGGACTGCAGCCCTCCCGTATCCCAAGATAAGCGTTCCGATTGCCGTGGATTAGTATTTTCCCCCTCTCGAGCATGTATCCCTGCTCCAGTTCTTGTGATGATTTTTCGCTAGCAGCGCCTGCATTGATCGTGCCCAATCCGATACTTTCCCCACAAACGTTACGTTTGACATGATCAGAAGGCTCCGAAGAAGAAGAAAAAGAAAAAGAAGAAGACCGAGAGGTCGGACATCAACGGCGGCGACAATGGCGCAAACAGCAGGCCAGAATCTCCCGGAACACCGATCGGTCCCCTGACCGTGGCTGAGAGGCGGGCGAGGAAAGCAGAGGCACGCGCGGCCAAGATCGATGCAGCCAAGCTTAAGAAAGAGACGGCCGCGAGGGATGCGAGGATGGCAGAGCTGGATTTGCAGGACTCTTCGAAGACATTCACCGTGAAGGTAAGCAGGAAGCTGGACGCGGGTGCATACAAGTGGGTAGATGATGCGTGCTCCACAGCGCACGCTGCTTGTTGTCGCCTATCGCTAATAGGCGAGAGGTAGATTGTTGCGTTGGTTGGCGCCGTCATGGATGCGAGCGGTAGCGGAAGAGGTTATTGTGGCTTCAAACGTCCAACTGTTGAGCTTTACTTATAGAGTTCATCGATGTTGAGAGGTCCTCCCTCATTTTGTGCCCCCTGGCGCAAGGAAACGAGGAAGTACAAGTGGTAACGAAAACATCTAGGCCAACTGAGCCCGAACCGCGGGAGGCAAAGTCACCCCCCCATCGTCGAATCACGCCACGCCGCACTTCACGAACAATCTCTCGACCCCCCGGCCCCTCCTCCTCTCCGCGTAGTCACACGTGAGACTTTGTCGTGGGAAAAACTAATGAATCGGAACCACTACCAGTACCGACCTCACGACTCGCAAACTGCCTGCGCTTCGACCGATCTCAACCCTCCCTGCACAAACTCACTTTCGCATGATAGGCGATGGACCCTATGAAGATATCCCAAGACAACGACCTCCACATGTTGCCAGATCTCGGGGAGGGGCCTCTATCTTTGGCGCGGCTGAGCGCCCCCTTGCCGCATCTAACACCACACCCGGGACGCCCGCCATGCATCCAGCCCCAAGAAGTGAGGATTTGCGCATATCCTCGGGGTCGCAACTCCATCGGACGTTGCAGACACACTTTTGGTCATGACGGCGCTTAAATGAACGTCCCAACGTTACGAAAAAGGGAGTCAATCCTCGATACTAGCTGTTTCTCGCCAACGCGTCATGAGCAAGCGCCATGTGGGAGATAATGGTTGTTGGCTTGTCGTTTCTAAAGGAACAAGTTGTCTTGACTCCACGCATATTCGCCGCTCGCGCTCCGCCTCTCTTCGCTCCGTCTTGGTTTCGCGTTTTCCTTCGCTCGGCTGGCGGCTTGGCTTGCCCCCCCCCCGCCACCACGGCCAGTTCAGCGTGTCGTTCTCGTCGGGCATCAGGCGCGCCTCGTCGCTCACCCCGTCCCTGGAAGTGAGGCTGGGCCCACCAAAGGCGTCACTTGAGCAGGTTGCTGACGTTACGGATGGAAACACCGACGACAGAGCAAGTGACGGCGACGGTTTGATCAGGTCCGGTGAAAACGAAAACCTGCGCTGGGTTGGCCCTGGTTGTAGGATTATTGATATGTGGTCGTTACTGATCGTCGTTGGACGAGGGGGGATACCCCCCCCCTCGACTATGTGCCCTGGAGCTCAAAAGAAAGACTTTCTCAGACTTCGAGAGAGGTTTGCTCCCAAAACTCTCGAAAACCAGATACACAATCCGGTACGAGGCGACGAACGCAGTAAGCGTTCGTCAAGGAAGGCTTCCCATAGCAACTACCGATCTGTTTTTTATCACTTGCCCTCTGTTGGTGCGCGATTCTTCGGATTCGTTGTCCTCGCAACACAACTAGGTGTCCCGAATGCGCGGAGCTCCTGAGGAGCTCTCAGATCGTCCAGCACATCCGGTCGACGTGCAGGCTGCTCCCATGCACCCACTGCTCGCGCCTCCTCCTGCCCGCCGACCGGGAGCGGCACGTGGAGGAGGCGTGTCCGAACCGCCGTCGAAGCTGCATGCGCTGCGGGGAGGCGGTCGTCGTCAGCGAGTTCGCCAGGCACGAGGCGGAAGGAGGCTGCGCGCGCAGGGTTGTGCCGTGCGCGGCGTGCGGGGATTTCTGTCCCGCCGACGAACTCCGAGAGCACGGGGTACGTGAATGACGCCATCACATTGCGTGTGTCGTAACAGGAGGCTTGATGTGATAAACATGCACCAAGCTGCGCGAGTGTGTGGTTGGTGCGCCATATAGCGGGTAGCGCTCCTGCAGTGCATGCCCGTGGCGCGACAGATTGCACCGCATGGCGTTGATGAGAAGCCCGCGCCGAAAGGGTTTCTATCCCCGAGAGACAGAAAGATGATGGCGATCTTGTTCACAATGCTGCTGCAGAAACAACGGCGCCTGGCAGGCCACCCTTTATTCAGGGTTTCGGAATCAACTGCTCTCCCAAAAACATTTTAATATTACGAGCAAGAAAGTGCGGCGAGAGTCGACCGGAACTCTTTCGTCTTCCTTCCTTGCGGAAATACCCATCGAGGCAAAGTTGCCCGGCAAACGCCCCACTCGCCGGCTAGCCGGCGTGTGGTTCCACAACCCTTTCTCTTGGTCTCACCAAAGGAGGCCGCACGATCTCGAGCGGCAAAACATATGCGGATGGGCCGTTGGTCACCATGACACCTATATGTCGTGGCCCTAGAATTTCGCTCGTTTGTTCTCACATTCTGGAAATGACACATCCTTTTGACGACTTTTTTTTTCTCAAGGCGAGAGAATGTCCCGAGCGTGAAGTGAGTTGCCCCTCCTGCGGGGACGGCCTCCCGGCGAGGCAGATGGCTGAACATGCTTCGTCGCTGTGCCGGAACATGACCTGGGCGTGCGGGTGTGGCGAGGGTCCATTCGCTCTCTCGGAGAGACCGGCGCATCTCAAAACCTGCAACGCGTTCATCGACGCGTGGGAAGCTTCGATCGAGAAGGTAGGCGAGAAATCGGAAAAATAGGTAGAAAGGGGGGCTGATGACAAACCTATCGGCAGAGAACTCTGCTGGATGTTTCCGGCAACCGACTCAAGTATGTCGATTGCCTGGCTGAGGAGTGTTTCTATCATGCGGTGGGGTTTAACACATCGTTTTTGAGGCAGCGGGTACTGTCGATGTCAGTATTGATGTACACATCTCCGTAGAAACGAGAATTGGAAGATTTTGTGTGCTTCGCGGTAGACACGCAGCCTGGTTCGGGCTTGGAACGACTCAAATTGAACCGTGTGAAGCGCACCGGGGCGGACGATTGCTGTGGGCTCGTGTACAATTTATCCTTCTCTCGAGGCCGTTTCCCACACATGTACCCCATTTGACGCGGGAGGAGGGGACGGGAGAGCCGCCGTGTTTCGTCGATGTATTACATGGATAAGAGGGATCGGACGAAGTCATTATAGCAACTAATACAGCTCAGTTTAAGCAAGGTTTTGAGAACACGGCCAGAGGCGAGAATACTGTCATAAGTATACAATTGTGTGTATAGGTGTATGTCGCAATATTTGGTCGATGCTCGTTGATCCGACGATGGTTGTGGATCCATCGATGGGCGTTCATCATTGATATTGATGCGGTTGTTGTTCTTACGCGGAAACGACTACAGACGATTGTCGCGCTGGCAGGGATGTGTCTTGTTGAGGGGGTTCTTTCCTTTGAATCTTTCACATCGCACGTTCCCCAGGTGATCGCCAGAATGCCCAAGATCGAGGTGGTCCGCAAAATTGGAAAGGTAAATACGCAGGGTAGGTCTGCAGAGAAGGGGGCGGGGGCTGGTCAGCGGGGGAGAAGTCAAAGCTCCCCAGTGCAAATATTTGCCATCAGAATGGTGTGGAAGCTGCTCGGAACCGGTGGCTGCAACTGTAGTCGTTGAGTATTCGTGGGGGCATCATTCCTACAGAACGAGAGGGTATGTAACACCACTGATCTGTGTCGACCAGGCCTTTGGCCAACCAGGGCTGTGGCGCAGGAGGGTGCGCGTGTAAGAATAGACACAACAACGTACAGATACATTTGTGAAGGTTTGGAATCTGTGACACCTGGTTTTGCCTTCCTGCCCCTCCCACTGGCATACCCCCACTCTCCCTGAACCGTTGAACCTTGGCCCTTCCGTTGCCGTTATTGGTATTCACAGGTTATGATCGCGACCCGCGTGGAAAATCCGGGCCTAGCGCTACTTGCGCTTGCTGAGTCCAGAGGGAATGTCTCCCTAGCTGCCAGGAGAGTGACAGATGAAAGGTGCGTGCAATATTGTGTAGCTTGTTTTCCTTACCAGCATGGCAACTGCGGTTGTCAATACAGAAGAGCTATAAAAGGAGGTGGTTGAGAGTAGTCGCAGCAACGGTATCTGGGCGGAAGAAAGGTTCGTCTTCATGTGCCATGAGCCAGCCGGGAGCGAGAGAGAGAGAGGGATCGGACGACTTTGCGGGATGTCAAACCAATTCAGAACGAGGGTTGCGCCCACGTCAACGATTACCCACCAATGGTGCATGCACGCCAGGAACGACGTTCTCGAGGTCTGAAGATCTTTACAACGAAAAGACCCTCCGTCTGTTGTGACCAGCCGGAGGGTGGAAGCGAGCCCCTGAAGCTCACTCTCGCCTTTCATCCTAGCAAGGCTGACTAACGCCAGCCACGCTTGGCCATTCCTTGCCCCATTGCAATAAGAGCGAAATTACCTCCGTTGGTGAACGGTTATTCACCACTTCAGGGACCTTTGTTCATAACGGAGCAAGGGTATTCTCGCTAGAACGAAATAGATTTTGAAGCCACACCCGCTGCGCCTCTTCCGTGAAATGAGCAAGCCAATTCCAGGAAACAACGGTGAATTAAGTGTCCTGGAGCCACTTCTGTGTCCCGGGGTGCGCGAAGTACTTCATCGCCGCTACGAAGGAGATATTTGACCAACACATCGACGAAGCCGCCACGCTGCGTACGTCAATGAGCTGTTGTTTTGGCTAGCGGTTTGGTACCTGCTTTACGTACCGTTTAATTCCCTGCTCGTTCCACGTTTCCGTAACGAAACAACTACCTGCACGCTCCGTGTCTTGCAGGGCGTACATCAACGAGCTCTGCCTAGCCGCCGATATAGTGAACGTCGAGGTCTTTCTAAAGGCGCTCACGAAGCCCGGAAAGAGGGGATCAGGGGCTCTTTGGCGCGCAGGGCTACCGTGAAAAGCTAGACTACTTGAGATGTATGCTGTCCATAGCTGGTTTTTGTTTCAAGACCGGCAAGCTCTAGTGGGGGTCCCTTGACTGTCTTCACCCGTTCCTCTCGTTGTAAAGTGGGGTACCCTGAGCGGTCTTCGCTCTTTCCTCTCTTTGAAACTTTTTTGTTGTGCGTCCCAAATGGTTACGACGTCATGTTTGAGGGGCCTCTGCCCATGGGTCCGAGGTACCGGTCACGCTGGTTCTCGATGGCAACAAAATTGATGGCAATAGGGCGGAACATAATCCTCTACCCCCTCTTCTTCTATGCTGGGCGATCGACAGCGAAGAAATTACAACTGCTCAGCGACACGTTCACACGATGTTATTTTCTACAACAGAGACGAAGCGCGACATGTGCCGACACCAAGGGGGTCGGCGTGGTATATCATAGACTATACACCACACGAGATATCACAGCCGCAACAGATACCACGCCCAGCCACAGAACACGAGACCCTGTGATAAGATACTTTGCGGCACGCCGTCAGCTCGAAAGCGATTAAACTCTCTGATCAAGTAATAGGGTAGCAGAAGATACTACCACACACCCCACTCACATACTGAACCATGCGATCGTACAGCAGTGTACGAAAAGCCCGCGGGAGTCAAAGCTACGTTCTGGGCCAATTTAAACCACACGTTCTTGCGTCATCACCATCTATCGACAGCCCCCTACAGAAACGACGATGTAAACGCTGGGGCAGAGAAGAGGCGCCGGCATTTTAAGAGCAACACCGGCACCGGCCCATTCGACCGATACCTCCCGACAACCACGGGTTGCTGCCGCTGCGGTCGCTCCCTGGCCCAGTTCGCTTGCGCTTAGGCCCATTCTTGCCCGGCAACCCGCTACCGCGCAGAGTCGACGGCGACGATAGATCTTGCAAGGGGGATCCTTTTTTGGCCCCGCCGTTCTCGCTTCGATCGTTGCTGTCATCGGCGGTGCTAGCGTTGTTCCAGCGACACCGACCGCCTACCCAAACCTGAGAAACCTTGGCCTCAAGAAGCAGACTGGTGGGTTTCCAAGAAATACGTAAGGGGTGCAGGCGGGCGGAAATCATTTGATTCGTGGTAGTGTGGCGGGGACAAGGCGGAGCTGCATCGGCAATTGTGCGACGATGATGTTGATTCTCTTGAAGGATCACCGATCTGAAAAGGTCCCAAGCACTCTTGCGAGACGTGGTGGTGCTGCGCGCACTCCTCAGGTTCAAACCACGCTACGCAAAGCGTAGACAAAATTAGCTACAATAAGCGAGGTTCCTTCTTCCTTCAAATACCGTAATTGTGCGTGCTATCGCACCCCCGTGTTAGCGTTTTTCTATAGCGTATTTCTCCACAACTAGGAGGGTGTGAACACCAAAGCCCTCGACGAGATGTTTCCCAAACCACCCTTTTCGGAGGTGATACCTCCCTGGTTGTGGAGAAATACGCTATAGAAAAACGCTAAGACGGGGGTGCGATACCACGCACAATTACGGTACACAACGCCCAAAATAAATCGCGTTCGAGCCAAGACGTTTGTACAAGAGCCGTCCGCGGTGCACACCGAACCGGGGTGTAATCATCCCCCCTGTACCCACTCGGACCTCGGGTCTTTCAACAGGCTCTCGCAACCGCCTTCCACTTCGAAGACAGTGAGGTCGGCCAGGAACCCCGGCCGAATGGCCCCGATCCTCGCTTCCGCGCCCGCCGCGAAGGCGCCGGCGGCGGTGTACATCCACACCGCCTCTTCGAGCGTGAGGCATTCATCCCGCATAAAGGCCGTCACACCGTTGCCGCTGGCGCCGCCGCCGCCGCCACTGTTCCCGGTCTCATCGTTTGCAACGTCAACGGCGTCGCTGCCCGATGGCTGCGTTGTAGCGCCTACTTGATCTACCGGAGACGATGGAGGCTTATCCGGTCTAAATACAGCGTCGTACATGCCACGGAAGGGGTTGTGGGTCTGGGGAGGGCATGGCGCGGCGCAGACAAGGAGCAAAGGGAGGAGGGAGAGGCGGTGGCAGCGCGTGGTGGAAGTGGTGATGCATGCGCACGTGCGTGCTCGTGTAATCGTGTTGGACGCGAAAATGCCCTGTGTCCGCCAAGCCCAAATGCAGTACACGGACGGGGCCGCGTGACGAGAGTTTCGAAACAAGACCACAACGAACGAAACCCACGTCGATAGATTGAAGCTTTCCGTATACAAATAGAGGAAACGTGGAAGGAAGTTTGGCAACACCCCTCCCCCCCCTTAGTTTCCTCTGGTGTCCCTGTTGACGTGCTCACCTGTAACAGCAACGTGTTGTTTGCTGCTGTACCCTAAAGCTTCCGGAAAAGGAGGCCGCAGGCGAAGCACTCTCATACGAAAACGGACCGGAAGCTTACACTTGCCTATCGCGGGCATCGAACTTGCTGAGCCAATATATTCGCTGCGATCCGCGTGCGCATGCGCTTCACCGCCCGCAAAAACACACACATGCTGCCACCGCACAAGTACAACACCGCAACCTCTGATGGGTGCATAAACACCCTTTACCTCGATTGGGGCGTCGCTGCTACCCGCGCACGTCACGCCGCCGCCCAGAAGCGAGCGCCAGGGGTAGCAACTCGGGTGCATGCGGGGGCTGCGAGGTACGGGCAATCATCACGCCGGAGACAAGCGGCGCCGAGCAGACGACACGCGGAGAGCGGGGACGGCGTTAAGATTACGTGCCCAGAGAGAAAAGAAAAGAAAATAATCCGCAACGGCGCGAAACCGGGCGCTTTCACGACATCGAAAAACACCCCCCCACCAGAGGTGCATCCGTGATGAACTATTCGGACCTGTAACGTCTAGGGTCGTCATATCAGGAAACACCGTCAGCGCACCAAGCATGAGCCCAAGCAATCGTGACGTGTCCATATCCTTGTTTGCGTTTCTCTGTAGGAGAGGAGGTGTGTTACTGAACAGGACTGGATGGACCCGTTTCACCGCCCTGATAAGTCGCGCTGGGAGTCTAGCCAACGCGCGGACTCAGTACTTCGTGGTAGTACACCATGCCAAACAAGGTTACGTACGCACATGACCTACCTCAGGCGTTTGATGACCACGTCTGCGTCCGAAGGTACGAAAGACGGCTGAACCGCCGCCATGGCGCCGAGCTTCCCCATCCTCGCCACCAGGTCAGGGCCGGCAACCTTGGGGGAAAAAAGCAAGACGTACGCGAAACATACGACAGTGAGAAACGCAGCCGGCCCGTTCCACCAGGATGCCTTCGCCGATAGCAAGACATACGCACAAGAAGATCACAGCAAGGTGCATCCGAAGTGCAGCGTTCCGTCGAAGAAGGAGGGAGAAAGTGGACTCTCATTCCCATACCTTTCGAGTAGTCTTCAGGGAAAGCCGCAGCTTTTGCCGTTCATCTCCGCTTGACCACCGTCCCACGTTTCTTCCATGTCTGGCTCTCTGAACATAGACACACACCTACCTGTGATTCAGCACACAGCAGTGCAATCGAAGCATGTCCAACGTTGCGTTTTTTCTATGGCTATGGATGGGTGCTCTAGTCACCTGGCAGTGAGTCACAATTGGCCGGTCTGTGGGTTGAAGACCCGCGCCTTCGAAGGCGTCCAGGACAGCCTCCAGGGCCCTGTCCCCGATGGCGTGAACTTCAACCCGGAATCCGCGGTCTCGGGCTTGCGCCACCTGCCATGCGGAATCAACCATAGGTCACAGTCATGCCGCATGCGAAGGCCGGGCAGGGGTGTGGGGGGTGAAGCGGGGGGCTGATAAATTCCCTTGAGAATGGGAGGAAACGTGAAGCTCTGGGTGTGTACAACTCTGTCGGACATACAGTAAGGTCGAACTACGTCAACGACGTATACCCAAAACCTAAGTGTCAAGAGGGTAAAAGGAACAACTTGAGGGTACAAAGTCCGAAAATGACATCTTGTTGAGGGCGGGTCATCGAAGTCACTGATCCCCTGTATGTACGAAGGTGCATGCCCCTCTTCTTTCCATCAAAATATCGCTTCCACGACCGGTGTAGGATACAGCCTGCAAGTACAGAGTTGCGAGCGAACGTTCTCAGCACCCACCGATTTCGACTAGTGCTCTCCTTCTGTTGCCCAAGATGTTTCGGTCTATTTCTCCCTCCCCTCCCTCTCTCCCCCCCTGAGTGTCTCACTTTTCTCGTAAGCGCCTCCGGCTCGTGTATCAGGACTCCTTTGTTGTCAGTGCCCAAGTACGGCAGCCTCATCGCAGCCGTCTCAGCGCCTGCTCCCGAAAAAGCAACATCAACCGAGTAGGAGGAACATCTCTTGAACAAGGCTTGGGGGATCAGGGCGAACTTTTCTGTCCTGGCTTCGGTGACTTGCTGTGATCCAAAGGAGGACAAACATAGTCGATATTTGGATCAAGCCTCCTTTTCACGGCGAGCACACATCGGCATCCTCACATGTGCTTGAACAACTCGAAACGGTCCGGGAGATTCTTACTTTCCGAGGGTGCAATTTGAGCATCAAGGAACAAACCATCAAAGAACACCCGGCACCACCATTACGAGCATGTCTACACAAGCACCAAGAGGAGGGTGAATAGGTGTGTCAAAGCTACCCGCCCACCACCACAAAGCAATCGAGCAGGCTCGACACATATACACACCTAACGACCCGTCGGAGAAGAGCTTCACTCGGTTCCACGACACCAGACCTCCGTCCCCGGACCACGGTGTCGGCTTTTCATCGCACACCCCTCCTACGCTCTCCTTTCTTCCACCGCCACCGAAGTTGTCGGCGACAGGGTTGTCCTTGTCGAGCTCTTCGTGGGGCAGCGTCAGGTAAACGCGAACAGGGAGCCGTCCTTCCTCCTGTGTTAGTTACCCCGAGATCCGCCCGAGTTGTTTCGGTGTGGTCAATCAAATGTCGACGAAATTGCAGGGGCTTGAGAGAGTTTCAACCCTCTATGCATACATCGGGGTAATGCTTCGTTCGAGAAGCCGCGAATAGATTCGTCTGCGTGTGGTGAGGACCTTTCGGCGTTTTGCTTGGAAAGGTCCTGTGTTCCTCGAGGATACGTCAGTGGGCACGGGCCTTACTGCAAGTATCACCAATCTGACGTGTGAATCCCATCACATTTCAGGGGCTTTCAGGCATGTCGGTGGCCCCAGGGAAGGTTTGATTTAACTTTACGTGATCAAGCATCGGGTTGCGTCAGGGTCGCAAGGACTGACTCCTCTGCGCTCTGCCCACGAACACCATCACCATGGTTCATGGATGCACAGTGAGCTTGTGCTCTCCCCGTCGGTGTACGATGTACCCGCGAATCTCTCTCCCTTTCAGCCAAATTTCACCTTCGGTCCGCACACGACGTGAGCGGCAACATCGGGGTGTCGTTTGGCATTGTACTCTACGTTCTGTAGCTTGCGTGTTCACGGAAGAACGTCCTTCTGTCTGCAGGATTGATCATCACGGGAACGTGAAGGTGCTGAAGCAGAGGCAACAATACGTTTCTGATGCAGGCACAAACCACAACAACAACAACAACAACAACAACAACAACTCCCAAATTATCCGACCGTTCAAGTAGTGGGGCCACCTCAATTAAGTTAGGCAAGGTGCCGTAACAATGCGGTCCCGACCAGTGTGGAGATCCGACAAAGCGCGGTCAAAATCACTTGGCATTCGAATTGTCCACTACATTTTGAACCCATGTGCCCAATCCGCAGTAGTACAGAGTCTTGCAACAGTGCCGTTACATTCGCTCGCCTTTGTACATGAAGCACGCTGTCGAGGAACCCGTACCATGCTCACTGAGGCGGGCGAAAGACAAGTAGTTAATCGGCGTGTGACGCCCTCGTCAAATCATGAGCTTCAAGCCCGTCTCTAATCCATGCCTCACCTGCAACTGCGAGTAGACCTGGATAGCGTTCTCGTCGTTGCTGTGCACCGCAGTGAGCCCGCTTCTCACGCACCGCTCAAGAGCCTCCGCGAACTGGTCGCATCTTCGTTATTGTCGTGGGAGGGGTTGAGGTGAGCGTCGTAACATGGCAACGCGTGGGGCGAGGTCCATCGAGCCGAGACCACGTGCACGTACGGAATCCGAAAAAACACACAGAAGAGATAGACGTAGAAATGAGAGGACGGCGATCGATGGTAGTGGAAGAGGAGGCGATTTACCCTTGTCTGATTTCTTGTCGTGGTCAGAAGAGATTTTGACCTCCGACCTCCGCCTTCACACCTACACGCTCACTTGCAGCAACAAGAGACAACCAAAAATCTTGAGAAACGCAAAGGAAAGATAAGGCGCTCATCTTGTGAGTGGCGCTGGAAGGTTGGAGATGGGGGCCTGCCGGAGCTTCCAAACGAATCCCCAAAGCTGGTATGAATCACAAAAGCAAAACTTGCCCAGGCGTACAAGCGCCGCAGTAGCAGCAGCTTAAAGCACCGCACACCTTATCTCGAAAGAAGCCGCGGTGATGGCGGTCTCCACGAGCCGCATCGAGCCTTCCCGAAAGAGCCCCGTCGGGCGCCCGGCGTCGTCTACCTCGACACCGTCGATCGCACCCGATTTCTCCTCCTGTTCCCCTTCTGCCCCGACCCCCGCCGCAGACGGCGGATCATTTCCAAGGGACCACGGTTTGTTCGGGTCGATGTCCGCGGCACGCAGCGCAGCCGTGTTGACGACGGCGGCGTGCCAACACCGGCGGTAGAGGAGGCAAGGCCGTCCGTCGGGGAGGGCCGCGTCGAGATCGAGCCTCGTCAGGGGCTTTACCGGCGCCCATAGATTTTGATCCCAGCCCGTGCCGATCTGGAGGAGGTGGGCGGGGGGAGGCGCGGTGAGCAATCACGCGAATGTAGAGGTCTGAATACCATTCCGGTTAGGCATACGTAGCTTTTCACCGTCGCTATTCGACCTCCGATACCAGAGCTCTTAGACGGACGGAAGGGTGAGCGGGTACAGTTGCATCACGACACACGGTAAGAGACGCTTGCCGCTCGCTGGGGAGGGACACATACGGCACACACCACCGGAAACATCTAGAACCCTTTGTTGAGGTAAAGTGAGGGACGACATACGCATATTGTAGAGCGACATTGGAGGCGAGAGGGCGCTGGTATTCAGAAGGGTCGTGGAGAAGACAGGCAAGACCCTAAATGTTTGCTGGTGTCCCAACGGCTGGTGCTGTGTTCAACTCTGTGGTGCTGAAGACTTTCCTGGTGTGATTTCTAGTGCCACCGTAGGGACGTGTATTTGCGGTTGCCTGCATCACACAAGCGAGATATAGGTAGACTTCGTACGAAACACAAGCAGTACTTCACACATTCATGATGACTCATACTGTACAGCTCACCACCCACGGGAGGTCTGGGTTGTTCTCAGCGTGCTGCCTGAGCATTTGTTGCACCTCCGCAACAGAATGGCAGCTACTCAGCTCCACGTAATGAGCACTGGTTGCAGGAGGGAGTAACGAAGGAAGAAAATGTGGTACAAAAGAGGAGAGGACGGGGGGTATGGAAACTGGAACATTATGCGAAGAGGGTCGAAAAACAAACATTTGTGGAGGGCGGGGCAGAGACAAAAGATATACGGATAGAAAGAACTCGCTCAATAGAGATATGGCGGAGACGACAGGATAGGATGAATGACGCTCTACACATAGTTACAAGGCGCATCCAACACCAGGTAGGTTCCTGCGTAGGCCACACCCAAGGCCAGCCGTTCACGAGGTCGTGTGTTGGATCGCCGTGCTCGAGCCACGCCGACACGCTGACCCAGAAAAATCAATTTTCTCTTGCTGCCGGAAAGCGCAATTTCGGCGACATCGGCCAAATATGCATATGCCATAGGAGGACTTGCTACCACCAGCACGGCTAAAGAACGCCCACCATTGACCGCCAGAAAACGTGTACCCTTACCTTTCTCCCATACACCCGATGTGTATGTGTGCATCCTGGATCCCTGGCAGCACGATAGCTCCCTTCAGATCTATCACTTCAGCACCCGACCTGCCGAAACGTGAAACAGAGGCAGCCGACGCAAGAACTCAATATGCGCCTGACGCCCGCAGTTATTCGGTGGCTCTGTTCTGCTCTCTCTCTCTCTCTCTCTCTCTCTCTCTCTCTCTCTCCTTCGCTGCTCCTGCTCCTGCCACACGAGGAACGTCCCAACGCTCGGGAGAGGGCATGCTCATGTAAAACACTTTTGGTCCAGTACATGTCAACCGGTTTGTTTCGAAATTCAAAAACGCTCGTAGGAAGTAAGAGCGGGTGAGAACAAGAGCTTCATCCTTTTGCTACTAAATAGTGCGGCCCCACATGGAGACCCACTGCTGTAGGTACGTGTGTATCCAATGTATCCAGGGTCGGTGTATCCTGAATCCGCACCACACATGTTTACCTCTTCATTGCTGTTGTGATCTAGCATCCCTGTTTCGCCTGATTTCTCGATCTGTCGGTATATGCTACAACGTTGCAACACCCGTATTTCAGGCATGCTCCTCAGCAAATTGACAAGGTACGGTTAGCCTGGCGCCAGCAGCAGGAAGAAAGAGCCGTCGTGAGTCCCAGGCCTGTACCTGTGCTCTGGTGGAACGTGTCCAGCCCCGACAGCGACTATTTCGCCAGTGATCTTTTCATCTCCTGGCCGAGAAATCAGCAGCCACGACGCCGGAAGCTCCCGCCGGCGTTGAGACTGGCCACACATGGCCATTGACGAAGTAGATACGCGCGCACATGCAGTTTCGGCTCACACCTGTGTTGATGCTGTGCTTTGTCTCGAGGGGGCGACGATTTTGAACTCTGACACTCTGATTTGCTACGAGCGTTTTTGGAGATCGAATCAAACGGAGCCTCCTGTACAGTCCCGAGAAGTGTTTTACGTCCGGCCGCCGTCTCACAGCCACAAACGACAGCAACATTGCTCCAGCAGGAGCAGAGAGCAGAGAGAGAGAGAGAGAGAGAGAGAGAGAGAGAGAGAGAGAGAGAGCAAGAACGGGATAGCGGGAAGGCGAGAGCGTAAAAACGGTAACAGTGAGAGGGGAGTCATGGTCAAGGGTGGTGCCAGGGGCAGCCTTTCGCGCAAGGAGCTCCGGAAAGCTCACAAGCAGGCAGCCAAGGAGAAGAAGCAACAGCGGCACATCCTCAAACAGCAAGTGAGAGGGACGATAGATGCGGTCACTGCTGTTGGGTCGCGGTGTTCACTGTGTGTTGCGCTGAACCTGTTGCGCTGCGCTATGTTGACAACTGCTCAATCACGAAACCAGAATGCGTGTGTGGTCCGTGCCGTAGCAGACGTGTGTGCGCCGGCTCTTTTGCGGAGCGAAACGCCGTGGTACTGCTGTCCTCTAGCCACTGCCACGCTCTAGCGGCAGCCTACTACCGCTGTACGCAACATGGCGACACACGCCCAGGACCGTTATTGTTATTGTTATTGTTGTTGTTGTTGTTGTTGTGTAACATACACACAAGGCGCCAATGCGTTAAAGATGGGAACGAGCTTCGAGGGAACTTGATCGTCGCCCGCGGTGTTATTGGTCAGTGCTGTATGTAGACAACATGTGGACCTTCGTATGCAAATCAGGCGAACTCTGCACGGGACAATCACTCCTTTTGCAAATCGGTGCATTTCCCTCAGCCTTTTCGCTTTGTGAGCTGTGGCCTAATTCCACCTCCCCAACACACTCGCCCCCAATACCGGCAGACCTCTTCCGCGGGAGCAGTGACCACCGGACCCGTTGCAGCCGCAGCAGCTGCTGCTGCCGCTGCTAAGAAGCGAAAGCCCCAACTAGGAGGGAAGCGAAAGCAGGGGGGTGCGGTTGCTCAGAAGGATGGTGGCGGTGCAAATGGTGCTCGGCGCAAGCGGTGGAGGCCAGAGGAGATTGACCCAATGATCGCTGCCGAAGACGCTGAGCTCAAGGTGCTACTGATAGTGCTTGCCCTACGTTCCAAGACTTGGTCGAAGTTTGTTGGTGCTGGTGTGCCACCTTCGGCGATCATCGACGCTTCTGCACCGTCTCTGGTCTGTCTTATGTCCCTCTTTTTTCGCCCTTCCACGATTTCTGCATTTCTCTCTTCGTATTTCATTCTCTTGACGTGGCGATTTGGCCTGTCGGTCTCTCTTCAGTAGCGTTTGCGCTTTATCTGCTGGTTGGTCTACACCCATTAGTTGTTTTTTGTCAGCCTCTCTTGTTTTTTGGGCTCTCGTAGCCCTTACCTTGACGACGCTTTATCGTTTGTCTCGACAGCGTCTCGAGCGCCTTCTCGGCGTGACCGGACCCAATGCTAAGAAAAAGCGCTCCAAGCTGGCGAGGGAGATCGAGGTGGAAGACGGCATGGGTGACGAGTTCGGGGCTTTCCTCTCCGACCTGGACCGCATCGGCGAAGTAAGCGCTTGGTCCTGCTTTATCGGCGGTTGTGTTGGTGTACCATATTTCATGATGTTAGTGTTTGTTTAAAGGCGGGTTGTGTAGATGCGGTTGTGCTGTAGAATCAGTCACATTCGGGCAGCCGCTGGAGTAGTATCTGATGCTTGTAGCTGGTTTGTTGTTTTGGAATGTGGTAGCAGTAGACTCCTGTTTCAGTAGTTTTGTAGTTTTGTAGTTGCAAGAGTGGTCAATTGCCGTTCCCGGTGTTGCTGGAGACTATATCGTTCGTGTACCTGCAGCTGAGGTGTTCCCCTTCGATTGTCAGTGTCATGGTTGCTCTCCCGCGTTTTGCCCAGCCTCTCGTCCTGTCTCATTATTCAACCAATCCCACCCTCCGCCGCACTCGACTCGCTCGATCGATCGAAGCAGTTCGTGGAGGGGGGAGGTGGGAGCGGGTCGAGCGACGAAGACCGGGCGCTCATGGAGGCAAACTGGGACTTTCACGAGAACGTTCCCGGAGACGAAGCCAACAGCGTCACTGACGGTCCCGACAGCGCGATAGCCCGGGAGGGGGAAGAAGAAGAGGAGGAGGAG